TTTTGGTGGGCAATAGACAGACGACGCATTTTGAAATTTTTAGTTAAGACCAAAATTCATATAATTCGTGACAAGTCAAACTGTATCAATACCATTAATTATACAGTAGGAGGCAAAAGTTTGAGTCCAGTGACTGTATTTCTTTGTTTCAGCAGCATATATTAATATTCTACAGAAAACCTTACCGATAAGTGAACTAGAAAAAAGTAAACAAGTAAACAGAAAAATACATGCTGTACAACAACTATGAGATGTTATGATATTCATTTTTACGTATTTTAATGTGCAAACATGCATTTACATGTCATTGCTTAGTTCCCTCTTTTTTGCTCTTGAAATGACCTTTATTCTTGCTCGCATAGATTCCATAGGTTTTTTAATGTCACACGTTCAATACCTTGCCAGCATTCGTTGACCACTTGCCTCAAGTCAGCCTGGCTGGCGGGTCTGTGCCTCGCCCTCTTCCGGTTAAAACGGTTCTACAAGTGCTCCATAGGTTTTAGATCTGGAATATGAGGTGGAAAGCCATGACAACGAGATCACCAGAATGAGTTTGCTTCTAAACGATTTCTGGCACATAGAAGATGTGCATGTGCTTAGGGTGATTATCATGTAGTTAGACGTGCGATCATCTTTGTACCAGATGAAATTCCATGTCCTTGAAGAATTGGATGATACTTTTCTTTAATTAGGATCCTATTATATCTTTCAATATTGCCAAACCGAGCATGACCAAAGCAGCTAAAAGTTTGCTTGAGTAGGATTTAGTTTCTTCGAACCTCTCCAAGGTTAGTTGCATACCACCTTTTTAAATTCTCACTTCTTCTGCGATCTTACGAGGAAAGAATCCTTCAATACTTAATGGAACTATTTGTCCTTGTGCACCATCACTTTGCCCTTTTTCCTACCCATCTTGGGCAGTGTAAAGGAATGAGAACTTTATTTTGTTATAATTTAGATCATTAGGACCAAAACAGTGTGCAATTAATATAGTTTACAGTACTGAAACACTAGCACGCATGTCTTAACTCCAATACGCTGCCAGGATTTAATACTGGAATTCTACAACGACTGGACTCAAACTTTTGCCTCCTACTGTACATATATAGTATATGACTTGTATCTATTTTGTGACAATATGCCTTTGTTAATCTAGTCGAAATCGTCTGGCGCCATTCGAACTTCCAAAGTAAAACAGATGTCGTCATTAGTACAAAAATGGCAAGCTATCAAAAGGCAAGAGGAGGTTCTGTCTGAAGACGAAAGTGATGAGGAACATAGCGCAGCTAAAAATGAAGCACAGATAGAACAGTGGCGACAGGAACAAATCAAAAGGTAGTTTCTACTTGTCTCATAATCGTCAGAATTTAACGTTAATTTCGTTTGTTTAGCTAACGTTCACTTTGAGAATTGCAATATGCACGAACAATGGCTAATGTAATTATTTATGCAAATTTGCCATGACTGGAATTAATGAACTAAAGATTTTGCTCAAATAAGACCTCGTCCTAATAATTTTAGTGGCGGCTTTTGAATATCTACATCTAAAGTACGAATTGCAAAGTAAAAACCAAAGTAAAAAAAAGAGAGTATACTGTCAAAAAAACTTCCAAAAAGAGACCAAAAGAAAATGGCCGTTCTGTATGCATACAAGCAACATAATAACCTCATTGTCAGTTTTTCATTAGCCTACAAATACAGTAGCCTACAAATAGGTAGCTACTAATAGTTTTGCCAACGATCAAGAATAGCAGATATTCGTGTTTATAATACACTGGTGGTCAAAAAGAACTGCTCAAATGTTGCTATTGTCGTATGTAACAAGAATCGTAACAATCAATCTTTTATTGTACACTAACGGTCAAAAAAAAAATGTTTAGATACAAATTCATAACGAAGAAGCGAATATAGGAGAGAGTTTCATAGGCATTTTGGATAATTCTCTTATTCCAAGCATAATTTCAGTAATGTAATGCAACCTGCCACACCTCCCAGATAATCAAACAATGGTTTCATGGTAAGAGGGAGTGACAGAAATGAATTGGCCTGCAGTCAAAATAACTTAACCCTATATTGAAAATCTGTGGGACAATGTCAAGGGGATAGCCCAAGAAAGGAATTCATTCATAAAGCATCCATGATTTATGGGTTGCTGTAAAGACTGTCCATAGGATGAATTTCTTTTGACCGCTCAAGATTACCACCTTAACAAAAAGTATGCCACGCCGGTAAGTCCGTCATCAATTATAAGGCCAAAGGAGGGTCAACAAAATATTAATATTTCATATAGCTTAGCATGTAATCTAGTCTATATTTACTCGTATATATTGTTGGAGGGACAGTTACGTTCATTTGAAAGCATTTTAACTTGTTTTGAGCAGTTCTTTTTGACCGCCAGTGTAATAATTACAAATCATTTCTGAATCAATAACAATTTAATTTAATCCATTTGGGTTTTATAAAACAAATGATGACTGTTTTCATTGTATTGGAAAGAATATTTTATAATAGCAAAATTGCAATTTCTTCCTTATAGTGGGATGGCCGTAGACAATCCAAATTTTGAAAAGATTACAGGGGACTGGCGTGAACGTGTACGTAAGGCGAAATTACGTGCTTTAACCGATGCTAAATAGTCCAAATATGCATTCTATTCTGTAATGAAGAACATTACTTGTATACGAACTTTTTTTTTCATTGCGCTCATGCAAGCATTCAAATTACATATATGTTATTTACCGGCTGCGAGGTCAGGATACAACGGCCGAAGGACGTTTTTTGAGACCGAGGGGAAATATTTCTCTATCCGGGCCGAGCAAAGCGGTAAATAACGTATTTATTTTTCTTACAAAAAGTAGCGTTCGGTCGTATTATCATTGACATTGTGTAGTCAGCCTCATGCAGCAATGGCGACAAAAACATAACCAATCAAAACCTGAACTGGTTAATTTACAGAATTTCACTTCAATTAATCGTGATAATCATTTGGTCCATACATTTTAAAAATCTTTAGAAAAACAAAACAAATACGCTTTCGGTGGAGCATAAAGTATAGTTCTGGACCGTGATCAGATATCGTAAAATTCCGCCCGCTGCTATACAACCAATCAGATTGCAGGAAAGGCTAGGATTCCTCCCGCTGCTGATTTGTAAAAAAATAAAATAGGATACTTTCTAGTTTCCTTTTTTGTGAAAAGAAAAATATAAAAGAAACGTTAACTTGTGTAAAGATGTACAGTATACAATATACAATATTATTTAATAATCTCTGTAGAATCTTGTAAGTCATGTAAAGCCTTCCAGCAACCATATGAATGAAACTGGTTAGCGAATTTAAGTTTTTTAGAAGTCGAATTGTGACGGCACTTTCCACCGTCGTATGGAACTCCAGATTCAGGGCCTTGAATGCCTAGGTTCTTAACTGATTTATACATAGTTCAATAAAGGCATAAAAAAAATGGCTAGTATCCATCATGCCTTAATTCCAATGTATATGGTCCGACTGCGTGATCCAGGTTCGTTTATATATCGATGTTTCTCTAGCAATAATAATCATTGTTAGACTCTGAGTTGACGAGAGCTACGTATGTCTTTACCAAGGATAGGATTGCGTTTATTAGGTATTGTGTGTAAAAAAATTAATATTACAGCTGCTATAGTTATATATGTGCAAGAAAATGATTAAATGAATACATGCATATGCACTTCCTACAACAGCGTGTCTTGGTTTAAAATTTGGGAAGTGTTTGAAAGTCACGAAAAATACACCTCCTAAAAGATACACCGCCCAAACTGAATACACCGCTCAAAAAGCGTCGTTTTTCTAAAAAAGGACAGTTGAACTCTAGTGAAAAACACGTTTTGCATGGAAACGTACAATGTTTACCTTATTCTTTTTGGGAGATCAAGAAAAAGTTATTCTTCTGCACGGTAAAACTTATTCAATGTTTCGAATACAAAGCTGGTGCCTCTTACATTTTATATTTATTGCATGTAGATGTACTTAGATTTAGATCCAAGGAAACTTATAGATTGTTTATCAATTAAAAAAACACACTTCGTAAATTTTTGCTTTCCTTTTTCAGAAGCGCAAATAAGTGACGTTTCGTTTTGAACTAAAGACGTCGTATAACCAATAACATTCAATGCAGCAAAATGCATCAAACATCAGCCAGGCATAAGACCAATATATGCATGCGTATGCACCCCTGACCCCTTCTAGCAACGGTCGTGAGTAGATGGCATTCTTTGTGCCAGAATACGGGCGGTATACCCTAGTTTACACAGTCAAATTAATGTTCTGTTACCACAGCTAGAATTTTTAAAACGCAAATTAATATATAGGTTTCAAAGTATTTCGTCGAAATAAGTATTATGTCATGAAAACCATGCAGCTTTAACACTAGGTTATTACTTCATCCCGATACTTGCTAAAAAACATTTGAAACTTGAGCTTTACCTATAAAAATTTTCAACTGTGAACACAGAAACATACTGCATGCGCTGTTGTGTGCTCGAGTACACACACAAAAACGCACAAGTGCCAAAACTGCAGCAGACTTTCTGCAACATTGTTGTGCAATGAAATTGCATGTGTTAGCATGCTGCTTGTCCCAGGTTTGTTGACAAAATGCTACTAGGCAATAGATGCAAGTTTGTTCTACATCAACTTATTATCGTTATGAAACCTTATGAAACTTGTTAACAAGTAGCCACTGACAAGCCAGTATAGCGACAAGCCAGTATAGCAGAACAACAGCATTGTTACAGCTTGTCAACAAGCTTGTTAATTGCGAACACAACTTGTCAACAATATGTGAGATTTGTTAGTGTTTTAGTTCTATAATTTATTGCAATCAATCTGGTGCACACAAAATACCACACGGATAGAATGACATTATTGTTCGTAATTCAATATATAATATTCAATATACTGTAAAAAATCTCACCTAAAAAAAAGGACACAAAATTACCAAACTCTGGGGGTGTATATACCCCAATCCCTCTTTATTCCCCAATTAACATACAGCTCCTTAGCCTTAGGGTCTTGCATACTAACGTGGACGATTTTTCTATTTTATTCCTAACTACGTCCGAAGACCTCAATAGACTGGATCGACAATGGCTAGGTGACGAAATTAACGAAATATTTTTTGTTTAGGAGTTTAAATTTGAAAAAGAATTTAATTTCCAAAACGAATTACGAAAAAAATTAAAAAATTGACCTCCACAATTTTAATATATACTATTAAAATACTCCAATTATCTTTCATAATTTTAGAGAGAATTAATCCTAGGGAATTACTAAAAGATTAAAAGATACTAGGATAAATTAACCTACATATGTCTAAAATGATAAAATATATCACATATAAACAGCTGAAATTAGTAATTATCGTTTAATTTTCTCCCTTGTGAATATTCATGTATCCAAAGTTTGTAGCCTGCTAATCCACTTCTTCGCTTCTTCTTCGGACGAGGCATACAAATTATATGCACGCTTGTCTGTACGGAGCTACATGTAACGGACAACATATATATTACAAAATGCAACCATGCACACGATACCATAAAGAAAAAGGAAAAATGGTCTGTCGTTCAACATAATTAATTTCATCAAAGAAAACTTTGCATAGTATATATTGATAAAAGGTAAAGAAAATTGATCGAAATGTTTATCTATCCACCCTGAACCTTCCTGGAGGTGAATTTTGCAAAAGCTATCAGGCCTTAATAGTGAGCACAACACGCCCCGGCATTACAAAAAAGATAATTTTGGGAAATAACACTGGCGTAGCCAACCCGACAATTTTGTTTTGCTATGCTAATATTTTAATTTTCATTGAATGTATTAACAATGAACACATGAATAATTTTCTACATGAATAATAACTTAAATCATAGCAGCATTAAATCGTCAGGTCATCAAATGGTCCTATTTGCCAACGGAAAAAAAATTAATTTCATGTCATAATGGACATCTTTGATAGCGTTCAAACTATTGCTCTATACGGAGATTCATAGTATACCATATAATTAGCAAATCATTTCTGGTATAAGTTTCTTCAGGCTTTTAACGTAATGCAGCAGAATACAGCTGTACTTACATCAAAATATACTTGTTTTTCATTGGAAACTGAAAATGGTTCACAGAAGTGATGAAATATTAATGTAACATTAAATGTGAAATAAAATGTGTGAAATAAATATGGACAATAGTCGTCCAACAAATAATCTGAGAGTAGTATTGTATTTTTAACACGGTTCCTGGATTTTTAAAGAAACTAAACTCACCATTTTGTTGTGAAAGGTCACATGATATTATTTCCGATAAATTGACCACACCTTGGCAGTGAATATCACCTTCAGCGTCATAATATCTGAGCTGTAAAATTGAATATAATTAACTAAAACGATATAACAGAAATTTTTAGCTATATATATATGCAGCTTATTAAAATCCTGAATTTGTTGCATATACAAATTCCGAAAACGTTGACTATAACTTAACTTTTATAGAACAAGACAATTAATATGTACCAGAAAGGAAATATGTACCTGATGCCTTTCCGTGTCAAGCACAAAATATCTAGGCTTCCACTGTTTAAACAAGGCACCTTTTTTCCAAAGATAACCAGACAAAAATTTGGAGGATTTCGAGGAACTAGAAGACTGCAAAAAATTCTATTAATTCCTCAGGTAAAAGTCTTGTTTTAACTAAATCTGTTAACAAAGTGTTTTAAAAACCTAAAACTGTATGAAGGAAGATAGCTATTATCAGTATTATCAGTATACTTATATGCATAAGAATGCATTGCGTCAATGCATCTTCAAAGAGGAATTGTCATTCAGAGATATTTCCGATAGGATCAAAGAAGTTGCTGTTATAGCTTTGCATACAGTACTGAATAGATATGAGTCGTGTCTACAATTCAATAATTACATATTGTTGGACAAAAATTTCAAGGATATTTTAAACAAGCAAGTTTTCAACAAGTTGACGCAGGTAATAGAAAGTCGAGTAAAGTAAATAGAAAGTTAGGCAGTAAAGTCTTACCTCGTGTAAGCTCTTACTACTTGTGGATGGAATGTTATCGTTTTGTTCTTTCAAATCTCGGTAATAACGACATGCTTGAGGGACACGTGATAAACATTTTTCATGGCAGTTAAACCCACATTCCTTGCATTTAAATCCTGAAAATAGAAAAATATAATGCACATGATGCAGTGTTTACTAATAATGTAGTTCTACATTGTAAATGAAGTCCTATAATGTATTGGGAAACATGGTATGCATGGTGTTGGAAGTTAATCTGAATCTATAATTATCAATATTACTTGGTTTGAAAATATTTTACCTGAGAGAGGAGATGGAGGAAAGGAGAAAAGAAAGAGAAATGAAGTTTTAAAAAAAATAAGTACCAATGACATACCTCCTTTGCCGATATACCACATCATTTGCAAACAGAAGTCACAGTTTGTTGGTGCTACAAAACTGTGAGGCTCAAACGTATGAGGTTGAGTAAAGCCTCGTTGACTATAGTCATCAATTTGCAGTTTTCCCTGGATTAAAACAAAGTAAAAGTACATAGCCATGCATATGAATTTCATAAACCATAAAAAGTATAGCCCATCTCTGTAAATAACTTTCAGCATAAATATAGCAAGTTCGCCATCACTTCGTACAGAAACTGACAATAACTAGGATAACGATATTTATAAGTGTATATTAGTATCAAATGTCGTATAACAACTGCCTAAAATAGACAAAAACACTTCTCGACATTTCGACCTGAGGTCCTTCGCACTAATCATAGTACTCCGTACTTCATGCTAACTTTCCTAAAGAAGGCCCTCAGGTCGAAACGTCGAGAAGTGTCTTTTGTCTATTTTAGGCCGTTGTTATACCACATTTGACGCTAAGTTGTGCGCGCTGCCCCCCTGGTTATAAGTGTATATTATATAGAGAGAGTATATTTAGAAACATTACTATATTTTTCTCCAATATACATCATGATACATGCATAAAATATACAATATAGAAGTACAAACCTTTAAAACAATATCCATGGTATCTCTTTTGTGTAGCACAGCACTTCGGTGTCGGGAAACGATTGTGTTTAGTGACACTGTCTGAATAAAGATAATCATTGATATTTTATACTTTTTACAGTTTGCTTTCGTCGCTGCATGCAATATGTTTAATTATGATATTATAGTGTTAATAGACCTTTCCCTTTTTAGCTTTCAAGCGCGCAATGCGTGACGGTAGTCGATTATCAAGCAACTTTGAGTTAAGATATCGCTCTGCTTAGAAGCGATTTTGTTTGTAAGAAAACCTTGCCGATTCTTTTTTCTCCTTTGTTAAACTAAATCACTCCTGAACATGGCGAAATCACAAACCAAATTAACCGCGACAATCAACTACCGTCACGCATTGCGCTTGAAAGCTAAAAGGGGAATGGTCTATTGCATGGTAATTATATCGACTGTAAAATTCGACAACACATATACTGTAAATTCTATATATATAACTTTTGTTATAATAATTGGATATGGAAAACAAAAATACTTTATAGATATGATGAACAATATTAGCTACAGAGCAAAGGTAACTCCAACACCATTCATTATCACCATTTTGTAGATGAATTGTTGAAATATCTCAGTGGTTTAGAGAACAATATCATTTTATCTTTACAATGAAAAGAAAAAACAGTGAAAAAATATACTTACAGGGGGCTATTTTCATTTGATTGATGATAATAAATGAAAATATTGGCGAGACGTATTAAAGTCACAGTGAAGACGTAAAACCAGTTTTGACGTTGTTTTTAAGACGTTTAGTGAAACATTAATGTTTATATATAATATATATATTAAAATATATATATAATATATATATATATATATATATAATATATAATAATATATATATTATATATATATATATACACCCGTTTGCAAAAAAATCTAAATCTGAACCCCCGTTTACTCGAAATCTAATTAGAATTGCATATGTTGGGTAATATGATTGAAATCCCATGCAAATGTTATCATCCCATGCAAATGTTATCAGTATCATGCAAATGTTATCAATGGGTAAAAAAACTTCCAACTCAAGCCCATGGTTAAACAACCTACAAGAGGGGACAATATTTTGGACCAAATTTTTACAAATTGTAAAGAGTACTTATCAGATTCTGTCCGAATCTTACCACCCTTTGGTTACTCCGATCACCGAACAGTATTTATTGAGGCAAAAATTCGACCTAAACCTTCAAAGCCACGAAATAGAATAGTTGTGTCTAGAGACAAACGGCCTACTAAGGTAGCAAGCGTTGGTAGATTTCTACAACAGGTTCCTTGGCTTGAGTTACTCTCTAATTATCAAACATGTGAAGAAAAGCTCAAGCTACTGACTGAAATCATAAACTATGGACTAAATACTATCATGCCTGAGCAATGTATCAAAATGCATGAAAATGATCGACCCTGGTTGAACACTCGGTTAAAAAAAATGATAAATAGCCGTCAAAAAGCTTTCTCTTCTGGAAATAGAATCCTATATAAAATGCTGAGAAATAAAGTTAATCGGGAATGTAAACATTGTAGGAAAACCTATTATGAAAGCAAAATTGGTCAAATGAAGGACTCTACGCCCAGAGATTGGTGGAGAGAGGTCAAAAATCTTTGTGGTATTAACAAAAACACTCGTCGTGACCTAAGATCCCTTTTACACCCTGATCTTGTGTGTGATGATCTTACTCTTACGAATAACATAAACAAAGCGTTTATCAGCGTAATGAATGATTACTCGCCTTTGACAGATTATACATGCGTGGATGCGGTTGATGATGAACCTTTGTATGTTACCGAAGAATCTGTGGCAAGGAAACTAAGAGCGATTAAGATATCTCGTGCCAGTGGACCTGATAACCTTCCAAATTGGGTGCTCAAAACGTTCTCGGACATTATCGCAAGTCCTATTACTGACATATTGAACACCTCATTTACCGAATGTAGAGTGCCTAATGCTTGGAACTCGCAGATGTTTGTCCTCTGCCAAAGTCGTCCCTCATTTGTGATTTTAACAACGACATCAGACCAATTTCTCTTACGTCGACTCTGTCGAAAGTTGCGGAAAGCTTCGTGATTGATATGGCTTTAAAACCGGTTATGTTGTCCATTGTTGATCCACGACAGTTTGGATTTATCCCAGGTTCATCGACAACTATGGCACTAATCGATATGTTTCATCATTGGTTATCTGCCACTGATGGGACATCGTCCACAATAAGAACTGTTCTCTTAGACTCTCGGAAAGCCTTTGACTTAGTAGACCATCATATATTGATCGCTAAACTATTCAGCATAGGAGTAAAGCCAACCATCGTTAATTGGATTATTGATTTCTTACGTCATCGGCAGCAGAGGGTTAAATATGATGGTACTTTTTCTAACTGGGTTGATGTCCATGCAGGAGTTCCCCAGGGTACTCGTCTTGGTCCATGGCTCTTTCTTATTCTAATTAATGATCTACGATTACCAGATCAGATCTCCCAAATGTGGAAGTTCGCTGACGATATCACATTATCCGAAGTGATAACCCAATCTAATGAAAGTTCCATTCAGGACGCTGTTGATTATGTTAACTTGTGGTCTAAAGAGAACCATCTACAACTCAAACCAACCAAATGTAAAGAAATCCAATCATGTTTTAAGAGAATCCCTCCATCTTTCGTTCCAATTGAGATAGATGGGATAAAATTTGATAAAGTTAGTGCTGCAAGACTTCTCGGTGTTACTATTCGTGACGATTTTAAGTGGATAGATCATGTTAAAACCATAACTGCTAAGGCCTCAAAGCGCCTATATCTCTTAAGACAACTTAAAAGAGCAGGACTCAGTGTTGATGATATGAAAGCCTTTTATTGTAGTGTTGTCCGATCAGTACTGGAATATTGCTGTCAATTGTTTCATAGAAATCTTCCGAATTACCTCTCGAATGATCTTGAACGCATTCAGAAGCGTGCATTGCGGATTATTTTCCCTCATCAAAGTTATGATGAAGCACTGAAAGAGGCATCTATTCCCACCCTCTTTGACAGGCGAGAAATGCTATCACAAAGTCTTTTTAAAGATATTGTTGTTAATGGAAACCATCAACTTGCTGGTTTACTTCCCCCTCGTAATAGCTCTAATGGTTTTCTGAGAAATAATAGAACTTTTAACACGCCACAATGCCGAACAGATCGTTTCAAAAACTCTTTTATAATGAGTTTTAGTACTGAAGCAAATTTTGCTAATTGATAACAAGTTGTATATATGTATTGTTTCCAATTTTAAATGATTGTATATATCTATTCTAAAGAACACATAATTGTGACTATGACTAAAAAGGACTAAAAAGTTGTAAATATATATTGTTTCTTATTTCATTATATATTTTAAATTATCGTATATATTTTTATGTAAAAGACACATAATTCAGTCTTATGACTGCCAGTGTCCTTTTTTCTAATAAATCTCTCTAAATCTCTCTCGAGTATCTATCTATCTATCTATCTATCTGCGGCCAACGTTTTTGCAAATGGGTGTATATATATATAATATATATATATATATATATATATATATATATATATATATATATATATATAATATATATATAAATATATAATATATATATATATATATATATATATATATATATATATATATATATATATATATATATATATATTATATATATTATATATATATATATATAGTGGATCTAGGAAAGGTTGTCCGAAAATATATACATATATACAAATAGTTGTGACATGCGACCACATATTTCCATCACGTGTCGCACTTAATTACGCATGCAAACGCTGCGAACGCTTCGTTAAATCCATAGCTGGCACAGCGTAAACAATGTGACAACAGGCTATTAGTAAAATATACCCTCATTTATTTTATCTGAGAGCCCGTTTATCACCGAATGTCAGCGTTTTCTTATTGATCGGCGATTTCCCTATAGGTATAGCTCTGGATGAATTATTTCACATATTGCCAGTTCCTCATGCTGGTAAAGTGTTGTGCTACAAAGAGGCCTGCCAAACTTATGGGGCGACGTAACGTTACCAGTATTAGGGACCTTAAGCATGTAGAACGCGAACGCGACGACGACGGCTATCAATACAATGGGTCATTGAAAAGACCCATGATGGGTTTTAAAAGTCGTCTTCGTTCTGTTTACAACGGGAAAACGTCGTTTTTTACGTCTTGCCTAGAACGGTTAATTGCATTTCAGGCCCAGCGAGCCCTCCCTCGAATTAGGCTCTATAGAATTGTCCTTAAACATAAACAAAATGTTTTTAACGCCTTATATCTCACTGAATTGGTACAATTAATAATATAAAACAACAACTTTGCCATAGCATTTATTTAAAGGAGAATTTCAGCCGCGTCGTCGTCGTGTTGCCGTCTTACATGCTTAAGGTCCCTATTAATAAACAGGTTGAAAACGCGATCTACTGTCCTTGGCGAAACAAACAAATCGACAGCAACTCTGGTTGAAGACCTGTTATAAAATAATTTCTGCCACACAATCGCCCATCTTATATCGTCTGAATACGGCTTAGGCATTTTACAACAAAAATATCCCAACTAAACAATAACCTTGAAGCAATTTTGCAGCGTTTGCATGCGTATTAGATATGACACGTGATGGAAATATGTGGTCACATGTCACAACTATTTGTATATATGTATATATTTTCGGACAACCTTTCCTAGATCCACTATATATACGGAGAACATTTTTGCCTATATATATATATATATATATATATATATATATATATATATATACACATATATATATATATATATATATATATATATATATATATATATATATATATATATATATATAATAAAAAGAACATTTCATTCGCTGCGTCCACTCCTAAATATTGCTTTAAAACCAGTCAATATATTATATATAATATATATATATATATATATATATATATATATATATATATATATATATATATATATATATATATATATACCATACCTTTTTCGGGATGTTAGGGGACTCCAACTTATCCCATATTCTTTTCCATCGGCTGGTTCGTCGATCTGCTTCTTCTTCTATCCGGTTATACTCTTGCAGTTGGAATGAACATCCACTGCTATCATAGTTGGCAGTACCGCCGTACATTCCACTCAAGCAGCGCCTGAAAAAAGCAGGTTAGCATGGGTGTCCTGTCAACGCAATAAATATTATAGGTTGATTTATCTATGTGCACTCCTTAAACATTTAAAAAAAAAAAAGCAAGGAACAGCAAATGCTAATTTATCAAAGTCCTTTATTTGTACGAAAGGCAACGTTCATGCTTAAAACATCATCATATATAGTGTATACGAAGGAATTTCTCTTCATTAAGTTTGCCTTCGTAATTTTCCGAACTTCCAACAGCCTATCATGCAGACGATTTTTCCGATAACGTTTGTCGAGCAAATTCCATTCTGTATGCCTGGGTCTCGCAAAATTTCGATAAAAATACACTTTTTATCACACGCCATTTATATATTCGTCATTTTCACATCGTCTTTGACGTTTCCATCCTCAAGCTGAACCTGAGTAAACCTAGCTAAATCAGTGTGTAATTCAAATACCGTACAATTCACACGTCACAAGAGGTAGAAATAATATGACGCACATTTTTTCATACCTGTTTGAATTATACTTGTCCTCAAATTTTTGTTGGCCTTCTTCGGCTGCAGTCTCTGTCTCGTTGATAAGTTCTTGGTCAAATGTTGGACCCGTCGAAACATTTTCAGACACAAAATAGCTCCACAACTTAAGGTTAGATACATTACAATGAGGCCGAAGTACCTGACAAAACACGGAGATAGGAAGAATTACTTTTATAACAATGCAATAAGAGAATAAAACGTTGCAAAAATCGGTTTTCTTCCGGGCCTCCATCAGCTAAAAATTATCAACTTTAAAAACAATAGCTAATCAGCAGAAATACTGTTGATTTTCACCCGACGAACGAAACCTATACGTTTTCCTATTTATATATCTTGCTTCCTCATGCAGTGGACAAAATTTGTGCAGTTGCTGAATCTATTAGAACCTAACCTTGTTCGAGTGTTGGCTTGAATACTTAAAATTGTAGAATATTGAACCCTTTCTATGAAGTTCATCAACATAATCCCAAAGGCTTTTCCCACGTGATTTGTCATTATCTTCATCGTCAGACAACCACCCCATTTGTTGCCGTTCGTGCTCTGAGTCCAACAAGAACGTACGAAAGCGCATTGAGACATGATGGTATGCGAGAAAGTGAAGGAAATATTCATTGAATTCGAATGATAATGGATATTGATGAAGAATCTAAAATACAAATGACAGGAAAAAATGAGAATTAACTACATTAAATTGTGCATATTCACTATTATTAGGCAAATACATCTTTTTAATAAATATACGCCAGGCAACATTTTAGGCTATAGAAGACTCTCAAAACGGCTAGAAAACTCCCAGAAAAACATGCATGGAACAAAGCGATTGACTCACCGTGATAAACGAGAGCGCGGCGAGGCTCCCATACCATGGATGAAAAATTATTGAGAAAGTGCATTATTATATCAAAATTTCAGTAGTTGCAAGAAACGCAATTTTTTGGAAAAAGAATCTCAGTTACAAAAAGACTAACCTCAGCCCAGGCTGATGTGTAATTTGGTTTCCATGCATAAATACATTTTACAGTATGTTTTTGATCTACTCGCCATAGAAATAACTCACAAGACTGTGTTGACAAGAAGTATAATCAAAGCTAAGTAAGGTTCTTAGTTTGCAAATCCATAAATTGGCTCTGAAAAATTGATACAATTTTATAATTTTTTTCAAAAGTGGGATTCCGAAATACTTACTTGATGAACCCCGTCGAGAAATTGCAAAAATACTGGTGCGAATCCACTTGACTGTGTTGATTGTGTGTGATTACAGCGGTGGGAGAAACGATGCCCAAATGATAACCACTCTTTTTCAATCAATTTTAAAGCCGTTAATTGTTCTGTACTTGGGATCTAACATTACTTGTGCGAGAGACGTTATCTACAATAGTCGGAAAATTATACAATTGTTGGAGTAATAATCATATCCAGCTGATCTGAGATCATGACATCATAAGACGCCTCGACAAAACTGAGTTATCAAGCGCCTGGAGAATTTGTCCACGTTCTTCTAACTAATAGTTTAAACTATAAAGGGTGCAGGATTAAACGTCTAATTTGTGTTAAAGTCATATGAAATGAAAGAATTGATAATTCAATTTTGTCGAGGATCTGGCTTCTGATTGGTTGATTTTTATTCTCAGATATCAAATTTCATGGTCATCAGACTATAAACGAATAATTGGGTGGAGGGGTGTATACTCGTACACTCAGTTATTTTTAAGGTGGTCTTATAACAATTTATTGTTTTTAAAATTTCAAGGGATCCCAATATAAATGTCTCCCTATTCGATCCTTAATATTTTTTTCTCAAAAAAAAAAAAAAAAAAAAAAAAAATATATATATATATATATATATATATATATATATATATATATATATATATAAAATTTTCATGGTTGACTTAAAAGACAATTTGCTCGAAGATGAACTAAAAGTTTTGTATTCCATTCAGTCTAAGTAAAATAGCGACCTGTTTATTTCAGATAGATCGGAGAAGTTTTAGTTCTAGAGTTAAAACCTAATTTGTTATCGTGTTTACAAAAATCGTCTATTTTCCACCATCGGGTGTGTCTGGTCTGGGTAACTATAGTGATTGAAGATTCATACAAGCCGTTTTTCACTCAGAGCAACTTGGCTTGCAATATGGCATGAAAAGATTTTTATATTTTTCAAAATAAAAAAATAATTTTTTTTGTATAAGACCACCTTAAAGCACATGATATTTAAGAATTTATAATTTTGATTTAAATTGAAAGGGCAGTTCATGTCTCCTAGTAAAATAAGTTGTTTATTTTAGGCATTATTGCAGTCAGTTGTTTTTTGCCCTTTGTAAAAAAAAGGGGAATTTCGTTTTAGACCAATCAGCAAGTTTGTTTACATTTTCAGTAACCCAATCAGAATGCATAAATTTTGATAAAAATACAATATATGCCATTTTACATGAAGTATTTGAAATTTAGGCATTCTAACTGGCTTTGCCTAAAAAATGTAAACAAATATGCCGATTAGTTTAAAACGAAATTCCTCCTTGTTATTTGTAAATTCTTAGACCCCCCTCAATAAAATGTTGTCCATTTTAATGTCACTCCTAATGAACGAACGGGTATTTTACCTCATATGGGACTGATCCAAGTTACTTGAAGTATTAGAATTGGCAGGATATGTTTCCAACAAGTTTTTCGTGTAAATAAGTGCAAAAATTTTCATGGAAAACTGCATGCAGGTAAGTTCTATCAATCAAAAGGGTCCCTTCACTAAATAAACAGATAAACTATAACTGCTAAATGTAAATTAAAAATACTCACTTGTGACGTATTATCCCATCCATCTTCAAACGCGATCAACACGGATGAACCTTGAATGTCAAGTAGATCAACAACAGCACCGGAAATACGCAATGTAAGCGACAACTAGAATGAAAAATTTTTTTTATTATTTTTTAAAGGTATATAGAGAAATTTATTCGAACATTACTATAAATACACAATAAATCGATATCATATACTTTTTATAATGCATGCACAATACAAGAGGAATATTTAAATTAGCTTTATGATGAGTCATCTATTATTTCAATTGCATTCGATGCAACGAGAATGTGACGAAAAAACTAGGCATTATATAGAAAAGCACCAGAGAACATTATGAAATTATTTATACAAAAAAGTCCAAATACCTGATTGAACCATTCGCTTTCTTGCAAAGCTTTCAAAAACGTTTCACCCTGCGCGGAGTCCCTTGGTGGGCCACTTGGACAGCACACTTTAAATAATTTCTTCAAGCTTGTTTTCATGTCCCGCAAATCGGGCAACTAAAGAGCGATACGGTATATATTTATGCTTCACTTTAATTCTTATTTTGAACGTTTTTCAACATGCATCTTTCTATTGAATCCACAATGATCACGTAAATAAACAAACCTCAGCTGGCACGAACTCAATTTTAGGATAAGCTTCTTTCTTTAAGCTCTATAGATGACACAACGTGAAGATTAAAACACGGTGGAGATGTTATACGACAACACAAAGGAAACTTGTATCGATGACAACGCTCGTACGGCAAAAAAAGCACAACTGTGGGTCTTTTATGCAACAGTGAAGTAGGGACCGATCGAAAAATTGGTTTTCATGTCGGGGTTTTCCAGGTTAAAGCCATCCTGAATATTACTACGCGTGCGGGAATTTTATTCCCTCGCCTCACTCACCTTCAAATTGTTCTTATCGCAAAAAACATACAAGGCTGCTGGTTCCCAGCCTTGTGTAATCATTGCTTTGTCAATGGTATCGACTGCTGAAACACGTTTTAAATCCTTATCACTTAGATCTCTCATATCCAGAGTAGCACTTGACATGTTTGCATTTGATGCAAGTGATTGTTGTTTAGCAGCCGCCTTATTTTTTGATACAGGAGTTGCAGCGACTATATAATACAGAGAAAAGTCGTCGATTAAACACGGCTTATGCAGTATATAACACAGTCAAGTGTGCAACCTTGGAAACCCTTGGGAAATCCAATCTGTTCTTGAAGAACAAAAGATAAAGTCCAGGAATTGCATTTAGCGCCTTATATCGCATTACAGCTAAATTATAGCCTACGTCGTAGCCTCCGAACCCCCCTACACTTCACAGCCGTGTTTACACTTTAGCGTTACCTAGGCTCCTTTGTACATAAAAAGTTAGGAGATTTCTAGGAAACTAAAAAATTAAAGCGGTTTTTTGGGGAAATTAAAATTGGCATTTGCCTTTTTTTAACTTCAAAAACGTACCAACAGCAGCCAAATACTTGTCTTGTTCCACATTTGAAGAACGAATGGCGTCCGTACTTCCACCGCTTGCGGCAACTCCAGTGCGGATGATGGAAGCAACGGAACTTCTTTCAATCGCGGATGACCTCAACAAAACAGCACTATTTGTCTTATTTCTCCACGTAGCAACCGGAAAGCGCATCTGACGATGGTTTTTTGCCACTCGTAGTATGGAATCGTCTGAGACTTGATGAGGAACGACCAAAACAGCCGGGTAACTACAAAATAAGATGGTGTGAGAATAAATTGCCATAAAAATTTGGAAAAGAACATTCCATCTTTGAAAATATAACCGAATGAAAATATTTTACATATTTGTTATATATGTAACTCAAAAAAAGTCTTTACTCCAATGCTATTGAATTCTTAAAAGTTTAATGTTATTACATTTTGTAATATTTTGTGGCATTCTATAGGCGTGCCCTAGGAATTTAGCAGACTAGCCTGGCATTAGGCTTGGAAAGCCTCACAAATTTCATAAATCTGGCGGGATGGGGGGGACGATTTGCGACGAAAATGCATGGCCTACGAAAATTTTGACTAACGTAAAAAAATCCTAGATCCGCCCCTGTTGTAATATCACTGTGTTCGGAAGCGATTCTTTTTTGTGAAAACCTTGCAAATTTTCTTTGCAATACTAAATCGCTAAAGCTTGTAGGAATATTCAATCACTATAGTTACCCAGATCAGACACACCCAATGGTGGAAAATAGACGATTTTTGTAAACACGATAACAAATTAGGTTTTAACTCTAGAACGATGGAATTGGATTTATTTAATTCTAAATATTTTTGCCTCGGAGCTGAATCTAGAATAAATAAATCTTTTCCAGTATTAAAGATGATGTAAAGTCCGTTTTGCGCATATTGTTTACGTTTGTTGTATATAATCTTTACATGACCTATGTGTCGTTTTAATTTTCTTATTTTCTTCTCGTTCTTGCTGGACCGGCTGTGATGAATATGCTTATTTAATATTATATTTTGAAGAAAATATTATTATATTTTGAAGAAGATATAAAGCAAAGCTTGTAAATAAACCGGCCGTTATTTAAAACTTTAGTATATTTGTAATTGTAGGACAAGCGAGAAAGTAGCTCTGTAGCGACGACAAATAGCCTCGCCATCCTTTCAGCATAATAGTGATGATACATAAAATTTGCATATCATGACTAAATAGCTAGGCTGGCTACGCCACTGTAAAACAGTTCTATCGATAAAGCATTATAGCGTAAACCCATTCTTTATTCCCGACTGGATGGGTGAAGAATGACACGTTTGCGATGGTGTAAAATCTATCTATCAGAAGATGAACGCGGCGTCTTTCTCTTGTCTGATAAGGTAGCGTATTTATATGTTATTCCTTTGGCTTTAGGTCTGTTCACACGATCCAATTTTGTTGGATCCAATTCACTTCTGATGGATATTTTATAGTTTGTTGTCTTGAAATATATATGAGCAGCAAATCAACTGAAGGAAATGCAGTACTGCTTTATCAATAACTGACTAATATTTCTTTCGTCAGAAGTGAATTGGATCCAACAAAAGTGGATCGTGTGTACAGACCTTTAGGCTATCATGAATTCGAAGGAACCACACATCTCATTTGCATATGTGTAGGGTGATCATTCCATCATAATTGAAATTCACATGAATGCATTACCTTCTACAAACGTATTGGAGGTTGACCACTGATATTCTCCAAGGCATACTCTTACTGTTTGAGTCATTTAGTAACGAGCCAAAACCAAGGCGTACATATTCTTTACAATAAGGAGTCGAGTTCAGTTTGTCGATTGGAGGAACCGTTTCATTAGGTAGGGATATCGGAATATCAGAAAGATCAACCTAAAAATAGTTCATCCAAGCATCAATTAGCCATTCTGGAAGGTCTAATTAATAAGATTTTCTTGCACGTTGCCCAACCACGGTCGGTCCTAGACAGTCAACTCAACCCTTAGCCCCTCTCCCGATTCAATTTCGTGGAGCGGTGCCTTTCAAGTTTTGCTTTGCATTATAAAACCTTAAATTCAAAGGGAAGACTAGTTGCCTAACAGGGCATGCCCAATGCCTCTTTAACCTCGAAAAAGGTGAATTAGGTAAGGTATAGCATTTCCAATTCATCCCTATATGGAAAAAACAGGCACTTGTAGCTATTTCCAGCACAAAATAATTGCTTAGATGTTTAGTTGTTTTTACATTTTACGAAAATAAGTGGGATTGTTTTGCCCAAAAGATCGCGAGTATCTACAAACTGACAAACAGTAATGGCGGATAATAGCTTCCGACCGATCACAAATTTTACAGTCCTCGGAAGAGATCGTACTACGTGACATTCATACTGCATGGCTATCTTTAAAATCGCAACAAGTGAAACATGGAAACAGGTTTTTCCGCTTCCTAGCTCCTCCATTCCCCTGCTCCCCAGTTCCTTATCTACCTTGCACAGACGATAACATAAAATTAACTTAAATAAGCAAATCCGTGAAAAGGCAAGTGAATTCTAGATTAGTATTTTTTTGTACAATCTAATCTTTTGGACAATCCTTCGAATTCTTCTACAATCTAATCTAGCCTAATTGTCACTAATTCTAACAATTTTCGTATTATCCAATCAGTCTTAAACCATCGCTTAAAAGATTAAAATGAATGATTATTCACTAAACACTAGATAGTGAAGGTTGAGATAAAAGTATAGTTAACATTTTCAAGGCGAGATGATTATTGAAAACTTTTCCCTTCTCCCAACAATGGTTATCGATTAAACCACAACCACAATCAAAACAAGGGAACTCTCCAGCCTAGTCCCGGGCCTTGTATGCGCGCTGTTAATTATGCACGGAGGGGCAGCCAACGCTGAGAGGTCTAGCACAAAATGTTGAGATTTCAAAAATTGTCCCTGATTTTGTCTCTGATGCAAATATTTTGAGATCAGTATATCAGAGATAAATTTTCTCGCCGCCATTTTGAATTAAGAATTAAAAACATTTTGTGCTAGGGACTAGTCCAGGAACTCTCCACATTGTCATTACCATTTATGTATACTTTACAAACTAGTGCAGAGTTGGCCAAATGCGTTTATAATAACACTGACCTGCCCATCAGATATATTTTCCATTGAGCCATCAGAAGATAAATTTCTTTTGCGACCTGGTCTAGGTGAAGACAAGCCATTTCGATTTCGTACTCTTTTTATCGAACCTTTAAAATGTCTAATTCCACTTTCTCTTTTCACAGCCACATTACTTGCCCGAGGTTTCATTTTCTTGGGTTCAGCTACTTGGTGATCATTCGGCGGTAGTTGTAAGCGCACAACCTTCACCGGCTGTTTCTTATCACTCGTTTTAAAGGAGAAAGTGCTTAAAACGGACGGAGGATAGCGAAGTTTGATTATAGTTTTGCGAAATGCTTCGACCTTTTCTGCACCTACTTCTTCGTCAAAACAAAGTTTTAACATCTGTCATAACAATAAATATATACATTAGTTTCCATCCAAAAAAATTCGAATTATCTGTTTCTGATCATATCTAACCTGAAATGTTACAGAACGTAACTGAACACATTCTCCCATCCACGAATTCAAATGTTGTATATATTGAGCAGCAAGTTTCTTCTCTCTAACGAGAGATCCAAGTGGAAAGCTTCGAGTGACAACCATCTCTGAAGCTGAAAAATTCATTGCTTCTTATGATTTTAACGTAATATAAAATATAGTAAATATAGTAAAACATTATTGTTCCTAGTTGGTATGGTATGTACAATTTTAAATGTAATTGCACTCTACTTAAAATCAAGTATAACCATAGCCAGCCCGGTGAGTGCAGTTACGTCATACTATCTTATGCATATATAATTATCCCAAGGCTGGCACCTTTCTGACAAAAAATATAATGCATACATTAATACCAACGCTTGAAACAAAAAATAACGACAGTTTCTTGAAAAAAAAAATAGATACAAAAAACCTTGGATATATTTACTATATTTGCGTCCTGCCTAGGTTTTGCAAAATTTCGATAAAAATACACTTTTTATTTAAAAAATTTAGGCATTTTTAAGTTGTTTTTAACTCAAAAAATGACAGATAAATATAGCAAATATATCCACGGTGTTTTGTATCTATTTTTTTTTCAAGAAACTAACGTTAATTTTGTGTTTCAAGCGATGGTACTAATGTATGCATTTTGTCAGAGAGTTGGATAATTATATATACATAAGATACTGTGACATTACCGCATTTACCGGGCTGCCAATGTTATAACTTTCCCATCTGTAAAAGACTGCAATATTTTAATTAATTAATATATAACTATAGTCAAAATTTTGCAGCATATATAATTATGCAAGGTTGATGTTTATAAAGGTTAGAATCGAACAAACGATACGAACGATTATAACGAAAAATAAATCAATATTTCAGTAGCATTAATAGAGAACAAAGTTTATAAAAGGAACGCGTATACGATTTATAACAGAATGTACATATTCTATAAGTTTTAAAAAATATAACAGTATAATATAGCCGAAACTAGCATGGTCTGTTTGAATGTCATATAATATGATATCTTCCGAGGACTAAAAAATCCGTGATCGGTCGGAAGCTATTATCCTCCATTGGCCCGCTTATTTTCGTAAAATGATAAAACAACTAAACATTTAACCAATTATTTTGAGCTGAAAAAAGAGATAAATGTCTATTTTGTGCTGGAAATAACAAGTGGAAAAGGTCCTAAAAGCCAAATTCGCTCAGCCAAGGAGCGGGGTTATAAAATATATTTGCAGGTGGTGTTTTCATTTATGGACAATATTTTTCCATATTATTCTTGCATTATACAACTGACAAAATTGCAAATCTCGCAATCCTCGAATGCCGATTTTTATTTGAGCGGTCCAACAACGATGATGGATAGCGTAATGACCACTTATTTTCTATTGGACAGATCGGCAGCCAATCAGTGTATGCCAACTATATCTTTGTATAATAATACTACGATTTATAAAACCTACCAAACTCATCAACAGGAGTCCCTTTAAAGATTATCCTGTAATTTGTAAGAAAAACAGCTCCCTCCGCAGGAAACAGACATGGTCCACCATAATGTTGACCAGTCCCGGTTTCCCGACCATCGGGAATCAAATAACACCGTAGTCCATCCATTTGCATCTCCTCATAAGGTAACATCACTGGTCTGATTATTTTCGCCTGTAAAAATATTTGATATGAAATATCAGTCCCAATTACCAAGATTAAAGTATTATATATTATCTACATGCATGTTGTATGTGTTGAGGCAAGAAAATATATAGATAGTCCTACTATAAGTGAGAGACAATTGAAGAAATAATGTACTGAAAGGGTGAGCATAGCAATTACCTTTCGAATTGGCGCAAGTTGCTTATGCTCTCTGTAAACTGGTTCCAACGATTCCGTGTGCATAGTTACCACACCTATAGAACGACAACCAAAAGAATCATTGAACATTATTCAAGTATAGAAGTGATTAAACAATCATATTTTATTCATTTTTTGCTTCTAAATCCCAGAAATGTAACCCTAAATTGGTCTACGCGAAATAATTTCAACCTATATAGCCACTAACCCTCCCTGTTGAGAAATATAGCCACGCTGAAAACGTAGAAGCGACTATATAGACTTAATTCTTTATAACATGCTTGTTTATAATTTAAGAAATAGAAAACATTCTCCGTGTTCCTATACAGTTTTAGTATAAATTTCGAGGTGACTATTGATTTTCCTCCATTCTGATTGGTCAAGATTTACTATCTCTGAAGTGATAGTCAATGGTCGGTGATTATAGCTTTTTGTTGTTGTTTTTCAACTATAACTATATAAAATTTGAATTAATTACAAAATTCTTATGAAATTATGTTGATTATTATATTTGCAAACAATTTGAAAAATTCACCTCGTCTTCAACGACTAATTGTTAAATAGAAGCTCGCTACTCGACCAATCAGCACGCGCGTCATATAAATGTTATATTTTAATTTTTATTTGAACTGATTTGTCACTATATATATATAAAATTTATACTAAAATTTTGTATCTTTATTCTGTTGCGAGTCATCCAATAGCTTTTGCTTTTGTGATAACACAAAGGAATATCTCAGAGAAAGTGAAAGTAGAGAGAAACAAAGTATGCATTTAAATTATTAAAAACCATGTCCTTAAATTTTAGCTTTGTCTCAATCTTTTATGCAATGAAAAATTATGACTATGAAGATGCTAACATGTTTCGCAATTTGTTTTTGGTAAAAGATGTCCAATTTTTATAAGCACAGCGTATAGCAGGGCCAAAACCAGAACGACAATTGAGAAGGGGAGGTGTTTATTCATACTGGGAGTTGTTTTACACAAACACACTTGTAATACAATTGTAAAATGTCGTTACAACTTTGAATCTAATTAAAACATGTTTTGTGGTCACGTGTACTTTATGTCAACGACGGTATATTTAGTTCTGCCGGACGGTTTCAATAAACACCCTCCCAATTATCGTTCAAGTTCTGGCACTGGTTATAGAAACAAACAAACTATGTTTCACTATAGTTTCTATATTTTAGATCAGAAAATGTTTTCCAAGTAAAGAGACTGCATGTGGAATGTGTCTTTCTAAAAGTATTTTATACTAACTTTTAAGTATTTTAAACAATATTTTATACTAACTTGGTACCAAACTGTACAACGACTTCAGGTGTTCTGTGGATATACCAGCAGCAGTTCCGACCCGATCGACAAATCGAATAACAAATCGTGTCACTTCGTTAGTGATAGTGCCATCATCCTCTTCTTCATCCCAGTGATCACTGTTATGTACATCACCATATACACTGCCTTGGGCTGAAAATAAAAAATAGGTATGCAAGGCATACATGTGGGTAGCCTCCAAAGCATTGGCAAAGATTTTCAACTTTTTTCCAATGTCAAATGACAGGCCGCAATAATGGCGGGGAAATCAACTGCATGATGCTTAGTTTTACGTTCTAATGCCATACCGGCTGAAAATAAAAAATAGGTATGCAAGGCATACATTTGGGTAATAATTCCATGTTCAGTATACACCAATATACATGCGACACCCTTTTTTAAACATCTATTGTATCATATCATATCATACTATATCACACCGTATCATACTGCATCATATAGTATCGTACTATATCATACCGTATCATACCGTGTCACACTGTATCATATTGCATCATACTATATCATACTGTATCAAATTGTATCATAGTGCATCATATTATATCATACTGTATCATATCGTATCATATAGCATCATATTATATCATATCGTATAATATAGCATCATATAGTATCATACAATATCATACCGTATCATACTGTATCATATAGCATCATACTATATCATACTGTATCATATCGTATCATATAGCATCATATTATATCATATCGTATAATATAGCATAATATAGTATCATACAATATCATACCGTATCATACTGTATCATATAGCATCATACTATATCATACTGTATCATATCGTTCATATAGCATCATACTATATCATATCGTATAATATAGCATCATATAGTATCATACAATATCATACCGTATCATACTGTATCATATAGCATCATACAATATCATACCGTATCATACTGTATCATATAGCATCATACTATATCATATCGTATAATATAGCATCATATAGTATCATACAATATCATACCGTATCATACTGTATCATATAGTATCTATATATCATACCGTATCATACTGTATCATATAGCATCATACTATATCATACTGTATCATATCGTATCATATAGCATCATAAAGTATCATACAATATCGTACCGTATCATACTGTATCATATAGTATCATACAATATCATACCGTATCATACTGTATCATATCGTATCATATAGCATCATATTATATCATACTGTATCATATCGTATCATATAGCATCATACTATATCATACTGTATCATATCGTATATATAGCATCATACTATATCATACTGTATCATATCATATCAAATAGCATAAATTATATCATATCATATAATATAGCATCATATAGTATCATACAATATCATACCGTATCATACTGTATCATATAGCATCATACTATATCATACTGTATCATATCGTATCATATAGCATCATATAGTATCATACAATATCATACCGTATCATACTGTATCATATCGTATCATATAGCATCATATTTATCATATAGCATCATATAGTATCTACAATATCATACCGTATCATACTGTATCATATCGTATCATATAGCATCATATTATATCATATCGTATAATATAGCATCATATAGCATCATACTATATCATACTGTATCATACCGTATCAAATAGCATCATATTATATCATATCGTATGATATAGCATCATATAGTATCATACAATATCATACCGTATCATACTGTATCATATAGCATCATACTATATCATACTGTATCATATCGTATCATATAGCATCATATTATATCATATCGTATAATATAGCATCATATAGTATCATACAATATTATACCGTGTCATACTGTATCATATAGCATCATACTATATCATACTGTATCATATCGTATCATATAGCATCATATTATATCATATCGTATAATATAGCATCATATAGTATCATACAATATCATACCGTATCATACTGTATCATATAGCATCATACTATATCATACTGTATCATATCGTATCATATAGCATCATATTATATCATATCGTATAATATAGCATCATATAGTATCATACAATATCATACCGTATCATACTGTATCATATAGCATCATACTATATCATACTGTATCATATAGCATCATACTATATCATACTGTATCATATCGTATCATATAGCATCATACTATATCATATCATAATATAGCATCATATAGTATCATACAATATCATACCGTATCATACTGTATCATATAGCATCATACAATATCATACCGTATCATACTGTATCATATAGCATCATACTATATCATATCGTATAATATAGCATCATATAGTATCATACAATATCATACCGTATCATACTGTATCATATAGTATCATACAATATCATACCGTATCATACTGTATCATATAGCATCATACTATATCATACTGTATCATATCGTATCATATAGCATCATACTATATCATATCGTATAATATAGCATCATATAGTATCATACAATATCATACCGTATCATACTGTATCATATAGCATCATACTATATCATACTGTATCATACTGTATCATATAGCATCATATAGTATCATACAATATCATACCGTATTATACTGTATCATATAGTATCATACAATATCATACCGTATCATACTGTATCATATAGCATCATATTATATCATCGTATAATATAGCATCATATAGTATCATACAATATCATACCGCATCATACTGTATCATATAGCATCATACTATATCATACTGTATCATATCGTATCATATAGCATCATACTATATCATACTGTATCATATCGTATCAAATAGCATAATATTATATCATATCATATAATATAGCATCATATAGTATCATACAATATCATACCGTATCATACTGTATCATATAGCATCATACTATATCATACTGTATCATATCGTATCATATAGCATCATATATATCATACTGTATCATATCGTATCATATAGCATCATACTATATCATACTGTATCATATCGTATCATATAGCATCATATTATATCATATCGTATAATATAGCATCATATAGTATTATACAATATCATACCGTATCATACTATATCATACCGTATCACACCGCATCATATTGCATCATAAAGTATCGTACCGTATCATACCGCATCATACTGTATCATATAGCATCATACTATATCATACTGTATCATATCGTATCAAATAGCATAATTATATCATATCGTATAATATAGCATCATATAGTATCATACAATATCATACCGTATCATACTGTATCATATAGCATCATACTATATCATACCGTATCATACTGTATCATATAGCATCATACTATATCATATCGTATAATATAGCATCATATAGTATCATACAATATCATACCGTATCATACTGTATCATATAGTATCATACAATATCATACCGTATCATACTGTATCATATAGCATCATACTATATCATACTGTATCATATCGTATCATATAGCATCATACTATATCATATCGTATAATATAGCATCATATAGTATCATACAATATCATACCGTATCATACTGTATCATATAGCATCATACAATATCATACGGTATCATACTGTCATATAGCATCATACTATATCATATCGTATAATATAGCATCATAAGTATCATACAATATCATACCGTATCATACTGTATCATATAGTATCATACAATATCATACCGTATCATACTGTATCATATAGCATCATACTATATCATACTGTATCATATCGTATCATATAGCATCATACTATATCATATCGTATAATATAGCATCATATAGTATCATACAATATCATACCGTATCATACTGTATCATATAGCATCATACTATATCATACTGTATCATATCGTATCATATAGCATCATATAGTATCATACAATATCATACCGTATCATACTGTATCATATAGTATCATACAATATCATACCGTATCATACTGTATCATATAGCATCATATTATATCATATCGTATAATATAGCATCATATAGTATCATACAATATCATACCGCATCATACTGTATCATATAGCATCATACTATATCATACTGTATCATATCGTATCATATAGCATCATACTATATCATACTGTATCATATCGTATCAAATAGCATAATATTATATCATATCATATAATATAGCATCATATAGTATCATACAATATCATACCGTATCATACTGTATCATATAGCATCATACTATATCATACTGTATCATATCGTATCATATAGCATCATATTATATCATACTGTATCATATCGTATCATATAGCATCATACTATATCATACTGTATCATATCGTATCATATAGCATCATATTATATCATATCGTATAATATAGCATCATATAGTATTATACAATATCATACCGTATCATACTATATCATACCGTATCACACCGCATCATATTGCATCATAAAGTATCGTACCGTATCATACCGCATCATACTGTATCATATAGCATCATACTATATCATACTGTATCATATCGTATCAAATAGCATAATATTATATCATATCGTATAATATAGCATCATATAGTATCATACAATATCATACCGTATCATACTGTATCATATAGCATCATACTATATCATACTGTATCATATCGTATCATATAGCATCATATATATCATATCGTATAATATAGCATCATATAGTATCATACAATATCATACCGTATCATATTGTATCATATAGCATCATACTATATCATACTGTATCATATCGTATCATATTGCATCATAAAGTATCGTACCGTATCATACCGTATCATACTGTATCATATAGCATCATACTATATCATACTGTATCATATCGTATCAAATAGCATAATATTATATCATATCATAATATAGCATCATATAGTATCATACCGTATCATACTGTATCATATAGCATCATACTATATCATACTGTATCATATCGTATCAAATAGCATAATATTATATCATATCATATAATATAGCATCATATAGTATCATACAATAGCATACCGTATCATATTGTATCATATAGCATCATACCATATCATACCCTGTCATACCATATCATGTTGCATCATATAGTATTGTACTATATCATACCGTATCACACCGCATCATACTGTATCATATAGTATCATATTATATCATATCGCATAATGTAGCGTCATATAGTATCATTCTATATCATACCCTATCATACCGTATGATACTGTATCACATAATGGAAACTTTATGGAAACTTTAACTTTTCTTATTTACATATACTCATGCAATTATAAATCTCGCTTAATAAGGTACTACATGAATCAGAATTAAATAATATGTTTATATATATAATAACGACTCTAAATGACTATAACGTAAGTAAAGCATGCAAATTTTTGTACAAATTGTTTCAAAAAGGGGACGTCTAGCCTTAGCACCCGGCTTTATTTTTCGCATTGACGTCAAGCCAAATGTTATGACCATTTTTCCAGTTTGAGTAACATTCGCAGAATACAATTATTGGGGGAAAGAGGGGGAAATAAGTAATACTGGGCAGGGACAGTAAAGAACCTGGAGAAAATTTTCCTTTTTGTTCATTGTAACGCCCTTGCATCGGTCCCTTGGCTTCCTTTGGTGTTTTCCCGTTCGGGAAAAAATAGACCATTTACATTATTTACGCAGTTGTAATCAACCGTTTAAGTAACACACAACGTGGTCTAGGTTCAATTCCCTAATTACGTTTTACACTCGGTATTCGGTATACTATCCTTCTATAGGGCGTGTATGCTTCCTTTAATTATCTGGACCGCTATATTTATGCTCGACCGCTATATTTATATATTAATCTCGGAAGCACTTGCAATGGTGCATCCGCGGCAACTTACTTTTCCTTATTCTATTAATGTCAGTCTATAGTCATATTTTTCCATCATCCGATATCCGTTACACCATCCTCCTCCTTATGCTCTCATCTTGAGGACATGCTTTCAATCAAATCCGTACCTTAGTGACGGATTAATGTTTTGTCTAAATCTGCAGCTCGAGCACGAGGAAATCCGTCAATTTCTACTATTTATCCGTCAATTCCGTTTGTAGTGCAAACCGGTTTGCCCACTTTAACTGGTCGTGGTCATCACCTTCGGTAAGACCCTCCCTTTGAAACAAAACGATAGTCTGCCCCAGCCCGTTTTAGGATTCTATAAGGGCCCACCGATCTATGTCTGAACTTCCAACCTTTCAGTCTTTTCGACATGATTGTTTCGCCCGATTCGAAAGGCCGCCAAGTAGTTGTCGTTTGATTGAGCTTTTTTCCGATACTTTTGATGTGATGCTCTGGTATGCGTGTAATATGAAATGCTGACCTAACTGACTGTAAATATTCGCTCTGGGTGAATGGTGTTGTTAGCGGCATGCCTAAATTCAATTCAACTGGCAGCCTAGGTAATTGCCCAAAAACTACCTCATATACGGAGACAAGCCTAGTGTGTCGTGTCTACTAGTCTACTAGTATAGTAAGTGAACGTGACTGAATCTAGCCACAAGTCCCAATCATCTCGCCTATTAGAAACAAAGGATAGCCTGAATTGTGCGATTTTGAGGCGTCCGTTACACTGAGGACGGTAGCTAGTAGTGCGCGTTTTCGTAGTACGATATAATATGATTATACGATATGATACAGTATGATACAGTATGATGCTATATGATACGATATGATACAGTATGATATAGTATGATGCTATATGATACAGTATGATACGGTATGATACGGTACGATACTTTATGATGCAATATGATACGGTGTGATACGGTATGATACAGTATGATACGGTATGATATTGTATGATACTATATGATGCTATATTATACGATATGATATAATATGATGCTATATGATACGATATGATACAGTATGATATAGTATGATGCTATATGATACAGTATGATACGGTATGATATTGTATGATACTATATGATGCTATATTATACGATATGATATAATATGATGCTATATGATACGATATGATACAGTATGATATAATATGATGCACTATGATACAATTTGATACAGTATGATATAGTATGATGCAATATGATACAGTGTGACACGGTATGATACGGTATGATATAGTACGATACTATATGATGCAGTATGATACGGTGTGATATAGTATGATGCTTAATGATATGATATGATACAATAGATGTTTAAAAAAGGGTGTTGTATGTATATTGGTGTATACTGAACATGGAATTATTACCTACATTTGGGTAGCCTCCAAAGCATTGGCAAAGATTTTCAACTTTTTTCCAATGTTAAATGACAGGCCGCAATAATGGCGGGGAAATCAACTGCATGATGCTTAGTTTTACGTTCTAATGCCATACGCAAAGGCAAAAATGGGCTAGTTTGCTAGTTGGATACAGTTATAACAAAGTAGACATAAGAATAATCAATGAAATACCAATGAAATACCATTTCTGCGATTCCCGCGAACGGGCTACCCACAAAAAACGCATGCACCTATACGGATACAGTAATATCTGCATAGAAGAAATCAAGTAATTCAACAACACCTTATTTTAAACTCCAATACCTACGGGAAAGAGCGTTAGCGTTCGTCTGCTCATGCAAGGAAATAATTAAATATCAGCGTGCGCCAAGGTATAAACACTTGAACCAGTTTTCAAGTAGCGATAATTTTCGCGCAAAGCGAAATGTTACTTTTGTCTCAGAACTGTCACTGCAACCATCTGGAACAAATTGCTCCAATGCAAAAGAATAAATCGCGCGAAAAAATTGCACTTTTCTACACAGGGTGTATCAGAAAAAACTAGAAGATTTTAAAACGTCCAGAAAACTATCATTCTATCAAAATATCTCAAAAATATATTTAGGTTAATTTGTTGTTTTTAGCATCTGGCTTATTTAACAGTAAAAACTAGCAGAAGCGTACTCAAAAAGTAAGCGTACGTAAAAACTCGAAAAGCGTACGTAAACCTAACTAACAATAAATACTCTTGTTTTATTACTATCACTCATGCATGTAATCATTCTTGCATCTAAAAAGTTACGCGAGAGCGAAGTAAACAGGAAAAAAGTCTAATTTTGAAACGTTTCGCGGCGGGCTTAATATTTATCAAATTTTCTGAAATTGCGATATATTGCACATGCAAAAGAGTCAACACTTCAACCTCTTTGAATGAACTTGGATTTTTAACCTCTTATTTTCTTTGCGCAAGCGGTAAAAAATAAGGCTTTTACAAACCGTTCTCCCGGTTTTTGAGGTTAATTTTTCTGCTATAGTTTTTACTGTTAGATAAGCCAGAATATGCCAAAATACTTAGACGTAAATATATTTTTGAGATATTTTGATAAAATGATCGTTTTTTAAACATTTTAAAATCTTCTAGTTTTTCCTGATACACCTTTTAGCCACATTGCTCATAATCATTTTTAATAATAATTTAAATTGTATTTTCAATATGTTTGAAATAAAAAAGAAACGGAAACACATTCGACACACATTTTAACAACATTTCCCTTTGCAAAAAAAGGGAAACACTTTTTACCTGTGCCAGAATCTGTTACATCAACAACGGACCCATTAGTACTTTGGCCGACTCTAGCAACGTTACTCCGACTGTCTGATCCAATGCTAGTATTAGCCAAAGATCCATCAATATTATCTTTTGGAGCCCCTGTTTTATGAATAAGATAGGAATTATTTAGGATTGAATTCCGCTTTCACATGATACGAAGAATTGCCAAGCCTCGGTTTGTCGTTATCAACGACTATTAATTTTGAATGAACGCGCGAATTTGTGTCGGTTTCACATGCATTTCCGCTCCCTCGGGGAGTTGTTGCATAGAGATTATATAAATAACAGTACAGGGGTCATTGATATCGGAAACATCAGTCGAAAAAGAGAGCGCGCTAATGGGGGGCAAATTCATGTCCCGGATTCTAAACCAAGCGCCTGTTGGCTATACATGGATGCCTCCTTAGCAACCACATTAGCAACAACTAAAATCTGTATTTAAAAATTTCTATTCGTTGTTTTAGGTCGCTTAGCCGGTTTTTGAGGAAAAACAGTATTTTTTGAACTGGTTTTACTTCTTTAGACATCCTGAAATGATATTTTAGAGCAAAAACCATTAGAATTAAAAAAAATATCGTTTAAAACGACTTATTTTGGCCTCGGACATCGTGCATAAGTGAACATTCGGGGCTTGGAAAAATAAAATCGTGCGATCTTGCAAAATCGACTCCTGGGCCATTACACACGACTACTGACAAGTGAAATTACTATAGGCAGTTCAAAATTTGAAATTCATGAAGGTATTTACGGTACAAACGATAGAATAAGAAAGTATAACTGTGTAACTGGAAGCGTATATATACCTAGTGTCGGTTGTTCGAAAGGCCTTTAGGTTAAAAGGTGGATAAGCCGAAGTTTAAAATTGCTCTCATGCATCTTGTGAATGACTATAAATCTGCATCTTATGCATGCATTAAATGTGTGTACTTCCATTGACAATTAAGCTATTTATATCGAAATATTTCAGCTCATAAATATAAATGTAGTTTTGTTTTCCATTTTACACTTATCCACCGTTTAAGCTAAACGCCTTTCGAACAATCGGCCCCTGCATGCAAAAAAAAGTACAAACTATCTTAAAACATTCGACTGACGTAGTGATGATATTCGTATCTATTCATTTGAAAAGCGGCATACTAACCAGCGTTTTCGTGTACAGTTTCCTGAATGCGTCTTCTCTTTGGTTTGACCAGTTGTGAAACATTTAAAGGTATCATAAGGTATACCATACGGTTGACGAAATGAATTGCCTGACTAAACACGATACTTTCTTCATTTGTAACATTTGTTTTTTGTACCTCCTCGGAAAATGAATCCCAGTTGCGCATCTAAAAAAAGACACAAATCTGTCCGTCTGTATACATTTGTATACAAATATATATAAACTACATCATGAACTATATATATAAACTATTATATAAACTAAAACACGCTTGCCCCGTCTGGCACACCACAATACCTGTGACCTGTCTGATAATATCAAAACTTCTAAAAAGGAGCTTCTGGTATAATATATATCCGCAAGTAGATTATGAAGTGACTCATGGAATTGCTCAATGCAGGTATGCGTCTTGATGAAACAGCATATAAATTTGTGGAAGAATTTTTCAAAAGATCCAAGATCTCGATTCTAAGCTTATTCACCTTATTTTAATTGATTGCCTTATTGCAATTCACCGTCAGGTGCTATAAACCTTCGATTATACTATTATATTATATATTACTGCAAAACGGTAGAATAGGGGTGTGCCGGAAATGGGAAATATCATAATTGCGAGGGCGTATCTATACCGAGGTACTACAATTTAAACATAAAAAAAATTATTAATCATCAATACAGTAAAACAACTATCAGAATAGTATATTGTTACAACAGAATAATCATCACACTGAGTGAAAATATGGAGTATGCCGCATAAGCTGTTAAAGTTTAAAGAAATTTGGTGCACGCGTTGGCAAACGTAAGATCTTTAAAACTTATGTATTCTAACATTTTTGAAGCAAAAAAAAAATCGTGAAGAACCTTAAACAAAAATTTCAGCTTCAGTTCAGGTTAAGTTAATTAGACAAAGCTTTAAGGGAATTTCTGGCTGCGAGCGCCCAAAATTTCTTCAAACTTTGATAGCTTGTGCAGCACATGCATATACTCCGTATTTTTAGATTTAGCGCGAATTTCTTGAAACACCCCGTATTAAATAAAACGTCCGGCAAAGACGCGCATGTTTTGACAAAAAACTATCGTGTTTATTGTTAAATTGAACCGCGATAAAGCCCTACAAAAATGCACCATTTAATCGTCCACCTCATGTTTGAAAATTTTGACAAATTGGACTGGTGTAATTTTGGAAAGCTTTTCAAACATCACTGGAACATTAATCCCAAATTCTACTGCGGTGGCCGTCTTCTTCAAAAACAACTATCGTACCTGTGTAGCAGCGATATCTAGAGCTTCGTTATTCACTCCCAATTCCCGATCAATGTTTTCCTGTTGATAAACACCCGACTGTGTAATCACAACAACATCATGTTTATGCACTGGTGGACTGTGAAGGTGCTGTGTCATACTAGTCCTTGACGTACGTGGCGTTGAAAGGCGTTCAAACAAGCCTGCATTATTCGCGAATACTAAAATAAATTGAAGATTATGGCCATAAATAATTGGAAAAGGAGCCAGCATGTGTTTCACCGAGTACGAAGTATAGGTATATTATTCAATTCTAACATTCTTTTCGAGAGTAGAATTCTCATCATACCGCATCAATATTTATGCGTAGCATAATATTTAAATTTATTTTGGTTGGCTGTAGTTCTAAATGAATATGAACTGGAGTTTACATAACGTAATCAATCCAATGGACGACTTGCGCTTTAGACTAATTTCTTACTTCGGCGATAAAAAGGACCTTTTCTGAAAGAGTTTACTAAAATAAGTAAAACTGCCAAGTTTGACGGCGAATTGTTGTAAAATACGGAAAATATAGCCATGCGAAGTTGTCAATTTTTGTATACTTTTGTATTACGACCGGTTTGTAACTAAATTAGTTACACATTTCCGCACGTAATACAAAAGTATACAAAACTTCGCATGGCTATACCTTCCGTATTTTACAAAATTTCGCAGCCAAATTTGAGTAATTAATTTAAGTAGTATACTAATTTAAGTAAGATCTTTCTAGCTGGGATGATTTATTTTCCTCTAGTTACTTCGATCAAAAGTTAGTCTAAAGCGCAAGTCGTCCATTGTTATTAGCAGAACCGATTCACTGGCTTCTACTGTAACCCTCTGTTTTCACTGAAAACTCTAACTTGAACTAAAGCAAACTGGTTGGTTAGTTCAACTAGTGATCCAAGGATAGCGCAAAGTTTCCATGCCCTGTAATACCTAAGCATCCAGACAACCACCGTCCAAGTTATATTTGTTTAATAGAATGCTCGTAATTTATAACATAAGTTTATGAATTGCATCGATTCTCAAAGAATTATTCAATTTTTGTGCCCGGAATGTTTCAAGCAACACTCGTCGTTCCTCCTTTCCTTACATCATGAATATTGATCAAGGCCAGGCGGCACATGCGCTGTTGCAAAGTTTAAGAAAAAATCGGGTGTTCCGGGGGGTAATTTCCTTTAAAACCAAACCCAAACCACGGAAAAGCAATGCTTCAAATTTTACAGTAACAGGCCAGACTCCTTAATATTTTTGTGAACTTAACAAAAGGGATAGAGAATTAATAAATAAAACAAGTTAAACTGACCTAATTAAAAACTTCACATTACTGATCATATACAACTTTACATTACTGATCATGACCCCCGGAAAGTTTACACAATGGCTGACTAACTGACCGACTTACTCGTTTGAATTTTCGCCACTCATTACAATACTGCAAAGTTTCTTTGAAAATTCGCACTAATAAACGAATGGTTGTGTAAACATACAGGACCTAATAATAAATACACCTACACTTATCTGACGATTGTCTCTTCTTATTATTCGAACCATCATACAGCTTCTTTATATCTGTTTGCACGTCACTAAAGAAAGTTTCTTCCCAAAATTGAGCATTCTGCCAGATTGGATGGTCTTGAACACAGGTATAAGCAAACTGCATTACCCCGGGCGCCAAATTCTACAATTATAAAAGAGAAGGGATATCAAAACCAACTATATATAATAATTGAATGCCACGCACGGGTATTGTGTGTTAGTACAAAATATGCAACTTACTCGACAAAATTCCGACGTTAATGGAAGCAAAGCGGAGGCAACAGCACCATCGTTCAAGCTTGCATCATCCTATTCAGATAAGACGGCCCATTTTATTCCTAATATGTGGGGTCAAATTCGAAATTTTCAACCACAAACTCTTCCAAACTCTGCTCTGAAAACTATCCCTGTTAAACTAAGGGTTAAACGTATGCAAATCTCCCTATTTACCTGTAACGCACAGTTCATCAACGTAATAACAAGATTAAATTGATCATGTTCAAGCACAGCTCTATGCTGTTCCGAACGTGCTGCCAGCTCTTGGCATAACGCCAACTGCGCTCCTCTTGATTTTAAAGCTCTTTGGACCGATGGAAGTGCCTGAAAAATTCATGAAATGTGAGTATTAATAACCATCTTTATTATATGGCACGCGCTCTTGTGACTAAATGGCGTGCGCTGATTGGTTCTTTGCGGGTCTGGAATCCCCCAGTATTAGACCGTTGCCGTAGTAACGGTCCAACTCTCATATTTCTGAACAAAAACAAGCAGCTTGCACTTTTATTTTTGACACGAAAAATATCGACGAGAAATGGACGAAGAAAAGCACCACCCGGACGAATTTTACTATCAAGAAGATCTTGGAGTATCGAATGATTTTATGTCCGAACAATGTAGCGAAATAGCGAAATTTCCTTCATTTACATTGTGAATTGTCGTTAAAAATCGTTCCGTGTAACATGCATCAGCTTCATGTTCCCAAACAACTGTGGACATATAATTTTGTTATTTGGTACATGTGAATATTATACCTATTCATCGTATCATTCTTATTAAACGAGTAAAAAACAAAGTTTTGGAAGCCACTTCAGTGCTTGCTTTGCTTGCTTGGCGACTGACTGGCTGGCGAAAGAGTCGGCAAGAATGCTGCAGCGCGTTGTATAATGAAATAAAGTAAATACTGTATGCCATATAATAAATCTCTCATTAACCGAATACGTTCGGTCTGTACTGGAAAGATATCAGACCTCGGTCTTTTATGTACGGTATTGTCAAGACCTCGGTCTGATATTTTTCTAATATGGACCTCAAATTCGGTTAATAAGTGGTATTTAGAAAAATATTTTTATACCAAATGGGAATAATATTTAGGACGAGTGTATAACAATGACTGATAACACAATAATATATATATATATATATATATATATATATATATATATATATATATATATATATATATATACACATATATATATTTATAACTTTTCACTTGTTTCTTTATTATTTTAATATTGTTCACTTTACTATGACATTTAAGAAATTTTCACGACTGATTTCTCATAAAATTAACGAATGTAGTAAAATCACGTGACCGATATTTACGTATTTATATATATTTCCATATGACAACCTTTTTGATAACGACTGTATATATATATATATATATATATATATATATATATTAATATACAGTCGTTATCAAAAAGGTTGTCATATGGAATATATACATACATATACCGGGTGGCGCAAAAAAAAGGTTAACCTGTTTGATTGAGTATATAACTTCAAAACTAAAACGTCTGTTACACTGAAATAACTTTCTCTAGCTTCGTGAATGTTTAACTTAAAATTTGGTATATACCATGCGTACTTTGATACAATGTTCCCCGAGATATCAGCGTTTTACTTTTAATACGTATTTTTGAAAAGTATACAAAAATTAGTCAAAAATGGCATATTAAATAAGAAAATATAATGTTCGTTTCAACTTTTTTCCTGATATGACTTCTTGAGCATTGTTAACCCTGGAATATTCTGTGAAAACTCAAACACGCTAGCTGTTGTAGCTATCGTTAAACGAGGCATATTAAGAAAAGAACAAGCAGAATTCATGCGAGATTGTTTGTTAAATTAGCGAGCTACCGAACGAATTTTATCCCCCATGCGACATGAAACATTTGGAACAAAGTCCAAACCAAAATAGATCATTTTTGTTTTAACGCTTTCCAACATGTCATTATACACAGAAAAAAAAAACTAATCCATCTGTCAAATGCTTCTAGTTAAACTTCATTGAAACAGACAGAATACGTGCCATAAAATACTAGGATTTGTTAACTGACTTTAATATGCCATTTTTAGCTAATTTTTACACTTTTGGAAAATGCATATACTTAAATTGAAACTGCGATATCTCAGTCAAAATTGCATGAAAAACCTCATGCTATATATCAAAATTTAAGTTAGACATTAGAGAATATATAAAATAGTTCCTTTAATTTTGCAATAGTTCCTTTAATTTTGAAATTATACTCAATCAAAAAGGGTGACCTTTTTTTTGCGCCACCCGGTATATATATATATATATATATATATATATATATATATATATATATATAATATTATATATGGTATATATATAATATATATATATATAATTATATATATATATATACACCCATTTGCAAAAACGTTGGCCGCAGATAGATAGATAGATAGATACTCGAAGTCTCGAAGTCTAATTAGAATTGCATATGTTGTGTAATATGATTGAAATCCCATGCAAATGTAATCATATGCAATTCTAATCAGACTTCGAGTGTCTATCTATCTATCTATCTGCGGCCAACGTTTTTGCAAATGGGTGTATACATATATATATATATATATATATATATATATATATATATATATATATATATATATATATATATATACAGTGTGAGTAAAAAAAACTGACACCTTTAAAATTCAAATTAGCTGCGAACTTATGGCTGGAATATGACAATTCCCATGTACAATCAAAAAAAAATTGATAAAACTGTTCTGTTGTATTTACAGAGCTTAGAATGCATTTTAACTCCCAATGGGAACAGACTTTATGCTTTAGGTTAATTAATATGATATTCTTCGTATACCTATGAAATATTTTAAGCAACTTCTGCCACATTACAGCCGCTATGGTCTGCCACAATTTCATGCAGTATTTTGTCATAAAATTGAGGTGTCTTTCATTTGTCTCTTTATGGCGGTGGAAAGCAAAGCTGCATGCACAAATTAACATATAGCACAAATGCTAAACTGACCTTGAATAAAAACGATTGGTATTGTTTATCACATCCTTACCTTTCGCGCCTCTGATATCTTGTTTTCAAATATATACGCCACGCAGTCGTGCAATACTTCTAACTTTCGAATATTGATATAATGCCGGGTTTGAAAACTAAACTCTCCTGACCCATACGGAACTTTGTCATACGATAACTGGGTTGTCTTGCACGTTGCAGAGTTACTGTGATCTTGGTCGTCTACCAAATACTTTTCAATAACAGAGGAATCAAGCATGGGGAATGTAGATGGTGGGTCGTCTTTTATATTTGGTATTAAAGGTGGCATGTCATCTTCTCGGGAACAATTAGACTCCTGAAAACAAACCACAAGGCAACAAATGTAGACAAATGTTTATACCTCGGTAATTCAACTCCGAATTACATTTTTTAGAATGTACTATAGGTTCCAGTAATACATGTATACATACGTACGCTATCATACAGCCGTTTGGCAATCTGTTGAACATTCGACGTTATTTCAGCGTCGAGACCCAATTCACTTTTCAAAGTTTCATCAATGCTTGCTACAAGCTTTGGAGAAAATGGTAAATACTAGCTTAGATAACTAGATATGTATTTTAAAATGTTACATGGAATATATTATTGGCTCACCTCGTCAAATAGATCACATGTTCGGTGCGGAGGACCTCGATCAGTTATTAACTGGTTAAAACTGATGCTATCTAAAACCTTGTAAAAAATATGCATACGCATGTGTGTCAAGTTCATTGCCGTTTCAGAAATTCAATTAATCGACCTATCTCCTGAAATCTTCTGAATGTATGAAATTTAGTCAAAAAGTTAAGAAATATACGCCAGCAACAAATGAATTGAATGAATCAAATGAAATATTCTTAAAATTTGTGATATCATCATGATGTCATTTTGGTCTAATTAAACTTCTGCAAATGATTTAATGGAAAAATCCAAGGTGTACTTATCGGGCATAAATAAAATACAAGATTAAATCCTGCCGGACAACCATGGAGAGTTTCATTTAAATGTAATTATTTTATGTATTCCTTCGATTCCTTGAACTTTATACATGCACAATGTATTCTATGAACTATATATAAGAAGCGTTCAGTAACACTTCAGTTTATTAAACAAACCTTGTTAAAAAAATCATCTCCAAAAACTCCTCTTTTTTCCATAAATGTTCCCTAACATATGAAAAGTAGAAGCATTCCAATATTATATACAATGTCTGCATGTCATTGCCAAACGTAATAGACCTTTTTCATAATAACGTCAAACGCGGAAAGTCTGCATGATGTTACACGAAGTTTGACTTGCTTGATAGTTTTGTGGAGTCAATCAAATTTTGTATCAGATCAGACTTTCCGCGTTTGACGTCATTATAAGAAAGGTCTATTGAGAAATGTCTCAATGTTGACGTCTTATATGACTATCAGCTATATATGCTTAGATTAAATTTATACAAGTCGAGAATAGCTATATATGCTTCCCGCCATTCCGAACTTATACCAAATTATACACAATGATGGCACTCTAAATTGCCTACATAATAAACACACGCAAGAGATAAATTAGTACTTTACATTGCAAATGAAACGCGAGCTGATAATGTATGCTATATACCTTATGAAATGTGATGACCGGTTTAGGATGAATACGAATGACTTTTAAACATGATCTGTACCCTGAAAATATTTGAGCGAACAGACGCATAAAAATTGCACGGATTTCTTTATCCTAAAAAATAAAATACAAACAGTAGTTATTTTGCCTTGTAGGAATGACACCTAACTCTGCACATCAAGTTCCCAGGGCCTCTTGGGACTTTATATGGGAGCGAGAGGAGAGAAGAGGAAAGGCCCTGGGATCGGCCGTTCAAAATACCCACATTTCGTGGGTATTTTGAATTAGCATAATTTATCATTAAATTTTGCGCAATATTTTCAAAATGGCGGCGTCACATAGAACTATAATATGGTCGCACTTAGGCATATTGGAATTGTACTATTTCGGAATAATTACAAAATATTCCACTAATTACATAAATTAGGAAAAATCATTTAACCATGCAGTCAGAAGCGGGCCAAGCGGCTGTCCGATCCCAGGGCCTTTTACCCCAACCCAGAATGAAGGAAAATGGCCCTGAGAACGAGGTTGTCTACACATGCATTTAACTTTCACAGCAAATTGCATGCTACAACAACTGCCTAAATTAGACAAAAACGCTTTTAAACGTTTCGATCTAATGGCGTTTGTCAGGAGTTATATTCTTGTCTATTTTATAGCTGTCATGCACGTTGTTTTATATAGTTATTTTGGCTATACATGCATTTAATTCACAAAAATAAAGAATGCATGCAGTATATGTCACAGCGGATTTGGTCTACGGTCAGTTGGTCCTTTGCCAAGAGAGTATATGAAAGAAAGGGACGACACGTTTTGTATAGTCAACAACTTTAAAGCAAAATTGTAGGTTGTCATGCATGAAGGCCAACAGTTGCAACCAAAACAATTAACGTCGCGGAAAAATGGCACATTCATGAAATACGCGTCCGTGTCTGAAATTCATTCGTTGCATGCAACCTTGCCTTTGATAATTATACCTGCAAATGTACGGGTGGGTTGACCAACGGTGGAAAGTGAGATCAGACACGACTAAATTGGGATTGAGGACCTGTAATGAAAGATATTATCAGAAAATAGATATATGCTAATTACGTTATATCCTATTGTCAATTTTCTTATACAAATTGGCCACATGCATGGACGCCTGGGATTTAGAGGGCTTGTTAATGTTATTCATGCAGAAAAATTGACACATGCATATACATCAGCTAAAAAGAATTCTTTGCATGGCGCAATGCATTTGATTAATTAAAGATGTGCCAAAACCATGGAGTTCTGTCTTATATATACATAAAAACCTGCGGCACAAGAGAGCTAGTAGCTGAGCTAAAGGTTACTCGTGCCTGTTAGTTCTGTGAATAACTCGCCGTGTGCGAGTACATTTCACTGAGTTTTACGATTCACGCAATCTTTTATCAAACATGCTTAATATTTTTGGCCACGCGAGGCGTAAAACTCTCCTTAATTCTCTTCCCCTCGCGTCGGGGCTTTTCCCTCTTTCTTTGTTCTAGTTTGCAGGACAATTACACGCACCCGGGTAGGTGAGTTCTCTTTAGGTTCGGTAAGTTTTTTGTTTGTGCGTGTATATTATCTCCACTCGGATTCACCGCTGAGAATTGCGTGTGATCATGGAATGGACAGGGTACCGTTTAGGTCCACATGCTCCTACGTATCACCGCAATTAACTTAGATCGCATCGTCTAGCTCGATTGCTTCGTTTCCGTCGATCGCATTGCCGTGTTAAATAGATAGATAGTTTCATAGTTCACACACATTGCAGTTACAAGGACTGAATTACGTGTAATTACAGGTGATAGTAGGCTAAAAATGTTGTAAATATTTACAATAATTGAGCTAGTATGGCAGTAAAAAATTATAATTTAGTATACACCCGACTATTTAAAAGTTATTCTGCGAACTCGAGTCGTATATGAGCTGATAGCCGACGAGGCGCGTAGCGCCGAGTTGGCTATCGGCCATATACGACGAGAGTAACTGTTTTATTATATTCACAAACTTTGTCGCCCTTTCGGTGCATTTTGGTGTTCTATTATATCAACTAGGCTTGGATTTCTATTTCACTCAACTCCCCAAATCTTCCCATTTTGTTTACTTTCTCTACTAGACAGATATGAGCTAATATCTGTCTAGTAGCCAACCAATGAAATTGCAGCATACCTCATATCTGGCGCTTGTGAATAATAATGTCTTTACAAATCCTACATTCTGATTGGCTACTCAACCATTGTCTATTCGTGATGGTAGACGTTTGGGAAAAATTCACTCGCGCGACCGTATAAAATTGAATTAATTAAATTATTTTTCGGTGTAATTGCGGTGTATCGATTATTGTCTCGAAATTAATATATCTAGGTACAGAGTGTATACTCAGGCTTCGCCTTCGTTGACTATTCGCTCATAGACAACTCGGACTCGTTGTCTAATTGTTAAATAGTATATAGATTATAAAACGTTACAATATCATATATAGTTATAAAATTTACAATATATAGTATTCAGATATAGATTAAAAATTTAAATTATTTATTTATTTGGGCAACTACTAACAATAAAAGAGTTTTTGAAACGGTCTGTAAAAAATTTGGGAATATAAGAATGTTTCTCCGTACGCAACTCGTACGTTAATGGAGGTTCCGATCTACACATCAAATGGTTCAATTTGTGGCTTCGATTGACTAAGATCTGGTTAAAAAGTTTCTTACAGGCAGATTCCCTTCGTGCGTGTATTTCCAACCCACTTTCGATCAATCCATTATTATAATGTGCGACGGGTAAATAATTCGTAGAAATTGGTTTTGGACACGTTTAATTTCACCACTAAAGTATTTTGGTAGTGCATAATGAAACACTGTCGATGCGTATTCCAAAATAGGGGGAATACAAGTGGAATAGAACTGTAGGATGTCCTTTTCAGGTACTCTTGCACGCTTTAATTGAATTAAAAATATTTCCGTTTGGAGGATTTTAAAATAATGTTGTTGACGTGTTTGCTCCACTTCAAGGTTGGCGTGATGGTAAGACCAAGTAATTTCGCCTCTTCTACAACTTCTAAGAGTTCCCCGTTGACTTCAATTGGGGGTAATTAACTCCCTATTTTTTTAAAATCAATACGCAGTTCTTTACACTTTTTCTTGTAAAGGCGAAAGTGATTTGCCTCAGACCATTTCTGAATATCCGTGAATGCATTCTTGTTGTTACTTGGTGCGAATTTCTGCGCGGATTCCGATATTGTGACATCGTCTACAAATTTGAATTGATCATCAACACTGGTGGTACTTAAGTCATTGATAATTAGAGCAACAAGCCAGGGACGAAGTTTTGTTCGCTGCGGAACACCAGCAGGGACATTCCCCCATTCTGAAAAGCAGCAGTCTTCTCCAAGTTTGACTCGATAATTGTTGCCTCTTGGTCAGGAAATCTGCTATCTAATTAATTGGTGTCTAGGGATTTCAATCTATCCAGGATGATGGTATAGTGAGCAAGGTCAAACGCCTTTTGATAATCAAATAATACGACTTTAATCGAGGCTCCTGACCCATCTGTTGCTTCCATCCAGGATTGAGCATTCTTGAAATGGCTGCCAAAAGGTTTAGCGGCTTCGCAAAACACATGATCTAGTTAGACGCTATTGTAAGTATCGTGCGCGATTGAACCCTCTCTGCTGCGGGAAAGAGCCTCGACTATCTTTGAGATCATTAAAGTATATATCATTATATATAGTCGAAGTTTCAGTCAAGTATATAATTAGTACATAAATGTTTTTACACATGAATAGTTGCCGTTCTTTCGCCGGTATATAAACAGAATAAATTATATATTTATCCGCATCGGTTAACCACACTATTTACGCCTCTTTTAGTGGTAAACTCTTCGTGTGAGCTTTTGTGACGACGTTGTTATAACATTGTATACAGCGCTTGCTGTGGACTGTTGTAATGAGTATTTTTTCCGGGTCGCTGTTCTAAAAAAGTTTATCGACTTCTCTCTTTGATAAAAGCTCCAAAACGTCCCTTTCATTTAATATATTTCATATACCTTTAACATTTTCCTAGCGTGTGTTTAATATATAATCTCATATATACGACCTTGCTTATAAAAAAAGCGATCGTCAATTTCGCCAATGTTTTGTTTATTTTTTATTTGAACAAAACTATTATTTTAGTTCAACAAAAGTTTTTTGTGTTGGCTTTTGGACTGTGTATGGTTTGACAGTAAAAAATACCGATATATTACAACGAACAACTCAATAACATTTGCCATTTTACACGAAGTATTCTGATTGGCTGTGCCTGAAAATGTAAACAAATATGCCAACTAGTTTAAAACGAAATTTCTCCTTTTTTTTTCGGACGACTTCCGCGATATTTTTAATTTGCTTTCTTTGCATTTTTTAAGAAATAAGCGCTCGTGCCAGGCCTTTGATGCATCACACGCATTTTGCGCGATTAATTAGACCCTTGACGTCGCATCTGGGGCCACTAAAAATACTCTTCTATATGTTGTGAATTGACTGAACCTGCATTTTATGCATTAAATATGTAATTCCATTGAGCTATTATTGAACAGATGTACTTCCATTTAGCTAAATCAAGCTATACATCGAAATATTTCAGCTCATTTGTCCAATAAATAACATTTGTTTTCCGTTCTGAACTTATGCGCCGTTTAAGCTAAACGCCTTTCGAACAACCGCCCCCTGAAGGACAAATTAACGCAGTATAAATTTTGCATAAGATACAGAAATATTTACTGGTGCATGTGTGAAACTATAACTGGTGCACGCATAACGAATATTTTTATTGAAGCAAGGAAACATCTGGAGCCTGGAGGAATTCTTGTCATGTTAATATACGACATATTAAAACCATAATGTTCTTGAACTTTTGCATGTTTAATTCATAATCAAATCATTCATTTGTAGAAAATACCGCTTGAATTGCACTGATGAAGGCCCGGGTTAACGGACCGAAAGGTTCACGCGCGCTGTTTTTTTACACATTGATAATTTTAATTCCCCAAATCTTATTTCGCCTTGCGCCATGTCGCAGCAACAGAACCGCATAGTTGTCGGATGAGTTAACTCTTAATTCAGGGGGAAAATCCACTTCTTCACAAGAACTTAACACACTAGGGAGGTCTAAATTAAATTCCCATCACGCATACACTACAATATCGTAAACATTACATATAGACATACCAATGTTAATGCATGTCTTGTCCTGGATAAATATGGTTCTGGAATGGAACATAAATTGACAGATTCCGGTATACTGACATGTCCACCGTCTAGATCAACCAAAATAACATCATTCTAAAAAAATAATGTCAATATACCATTAATAATTCCACAATTCAGTATACCATGCAATTAATGCCAAAATCATACGAATATAGTTATTATCAACCGACCGGGTATACGAGTATGATTTTGGCAACTTAATTCTGTTATTAAAAGATTCAATTTATTGAACTTTAACATAATTATTAAATTTTTATCACAACCTTCCTTGGTAAATAGTACAATTTGAATGTATTTGCATATACTATAGACTCAAATCTCACTCCTCTTCGAGGCTTCGAGGCATGATCCCGCTTATTAACCGAGATGTTTACATGATTCTGCTTAACTGAGATGTTTACATAATCCTGCTTAACAGAGATTAAACGAAGCGTAAGAAGACTTTGGGGTACTGAATATATATATTAATCTATAATATTTAATCTAATATTCATTTATTCAATTATAAAATAGTTTAGTTGCTATATAATATAGATGCCTTGCGAACCTAAATGTTGTTCGATCGCGAATTTTAGAAGCACATCGTACTTTAAAAAGTATAGAAGTTCAATTGTTCTAAAGTGTAAATAAGCCGCATGATACGTTCACTTTGTCTTTGGCTACATGTATTAAATATATTCTGACCCCAATTAAATGTAAACTTAATCGAACAGCATCAAAAGAAAGGTTTACTGGAGGAATTGCCGTATCATACGAGCGAAATCGAATCGCGCATCGGAAAATTAGACAAAGCTGTGCACCACAAGTCTTGAGAGACAAAACTGGGACGTAATACGGTCACATACACATTTCAAATACTAGTACATTTCGCGCCAAGCACACTTGCGAGGACGAAAAAAAAAACATAAAAAAAACCAAGGCGATATATATATATATATACTAAATTGTTTAGCAACTAAACTGCTTAAATAAATGAATATATGTATATATATATATATATATATATATATATATATATATATATATATATATATATATATATATATATATATATATATATATATATATATATATATATATAAAGATAAAATAAAATAAACTTGGTTTACTTCATAAGATTTTATTCACTACAAACTTGTTTCGTATGACAAGCAACGCTTGCCACACTCATCAGGTGAATTTAAACTTTATATAATTTAAATAAATTCACCTGATGAGTGTGGCAAGCGTTGCTTGTCATACGAAACAAGTTTGTAGTGAATAAAATCTTATGAAGTAAACCAAGTTTATTTTATTTTATCTTTATACTAGCTCTATACTTTGGTATATCGAGCACTCTACTCATATATGATTCTAAATACATATTTGATATATATATATATATATATATATATATATATATATATATATATATATATATAATATATATATATATAATGTGAACTTACCACCTCGGGTATATTGGTTTTATAGTTTGTATGCACACCCATTACAAAAGGTGTTGGAGCATTTATAAAGTCCAGCAAGGCTGACGGCAATATTGGTATATACACATAGCTAAACAAACAGGAAAAATAGCTTTAGTGTCACATTGATTAGGTAATGTTTCATGTGCCGCATATTGTAAGCTATAATATTAGAGTAAGGTTACGTGTTAAGAAACATTTGCATGATATCGAGAATTATCAAGGCCGAGATTGTGTTTTCCACCGAAGCCTGAGGAACTACATGCAGCGTGTACTGTACTTGCAGCGTGCAATAATATACTTGGGAACTACAGCGTGCAATAATAACTTGGGAACTACAGCATGCAATAATAACTTGGGAACTACAGCATGCAATAATAACATGGAAACTACAGCTTGCAATAATAACTTGGGAACACAGCATGCAATAATAACTTGGGAAATGGGAACTGCAGCGTGTAATAATATAACTTGGGAACTACAGCATGCATGCAATAATAACTTGGGAACTACAGCATGCAATAATAACTTGGGAACTACAGCATGCAATAATAACATGGGAACTACAGCTTGGAATAATAACTTGGAAACTACAGCGTGTAATCATAACTTGGGAACTACAGCGTGTAATAATAACTTGAAAACTAGTTCCTAACTTATTATTGCATGCACGCTGTAGTTCCCAAGTTATTATGCACTTAACACTTTTTTTGGACCGAACTTTCAGCACCTGAAACAACTGGTCCGCCTCAAAATATTACTCGAGGCAATTCGGCCAAGAATAAAATTTAAATGTTCAATCATGCACTAACGAGAATAAAATTTGAATATTTAATAATAGTATTTATTATTCATTTAAAAGAATTCACAGCCTCTGATTTGCTAATAGCAATGTGTGAAATCGTCATGTCCAACGTGTGACGTTATAACGCGTGATACGACTTTTTTCCTGCACTTTACTACGTCATAACGTGTGATAAATAGTCGTACCCTACGTTATGACGTCACATCAATGCCAAAAACATCAACGTCCCAAAGGAGCAGAAATGTGAAATCGACACAAATTCAAGCGAACAATTCAAAATTGTAATGTTCATTCTTCTAAATGAATAATAAAACAATTATTGAATTCGGTTTTCACATGATATGATGAATTATCAAGCCTTAGTTTATGTCATTTTAATACACAATCTTCGTGCATTAGCCTAACTACTCACGCGATTGGTCAAAATCAATCACGCGGTTTACTTCAGAATCCGCGTTCCTTGAGATCATGAGAATCATAACTTGTTCGCAGTAACCCATGAAAATCATGGTTTATTCGCAATAACCCATGAAAATCATGGTTTATTCAAAAATGACAGCCTGCAACGAAGCTTGGTTCTTCAATGCAGCAATTACAGTAGTGAACTGAGATTGTATATAAAAAATGTTAGAGACTTTATGTTCGTGTTTTGTTTACAAATAAACGCACTTGCTGACCATACAATGACCTCGAAATTTCATGTTCATTGTATGGTCAGCAAGTGCTTTTATTTGTGAACAAAACTCTCACAACAGTTTCTAACCTTCAGCCTTCGGCTTCGGTCGATAACCAGAAACTTCGGCTTGATAATTCTTGATATCATGTCCAGCCTCATTCAATCATTGTTATACCTCTACTACCGTATACTCCATATCACATATGGCTTCTGACCTAATACATTGATTGTTTACTGTTGAAAAAAAATTTCGTGATTTCTGGCCATGAAAGGTGTAAATAACTAAATGCATCAACTTGAATTGAATGTGCATGTTTAAATTATGCTTATATTATAAATATGTTTATGTCATACCTAAATTTTAGAGGATATAAAATGGCGAGAAGACCAAGGGAAGCATTGGTGAGCGATGAATAACTGCTAGAAAACAGAAGCACTTTGTTCTCTGTAACCAATGCGCAGAACAACGAAAGCACGTTGTGCATACCTACAGAAAAGCAATATATATAGTATTATTATCATTTCCTTAATAACGGGTTTAAAACAGATTAAAATCAACGTTAGCAATATTTAAGGTATTTATATTATGCAATTTGGTCAAATTCTTCCATTTGATGGCCTTCATCTCTGCTTGATGTAAATCTAATTTTTTATGCATGCCATGCACGTTTCTGAAATATATACAGTAACATTATAGCCGAGATATAAAGTTCCAATTTGCAACTGAGTATGTTATCAAGAACAATCAATGCAGTAGCATGCTAGTAGTATGTGAGTCATCTGTGAGAATCCCGTGCATAGACGTCATGCATCATTAGACGGAGAACTGGTGACTGGCTATACTGCAAAAAAGTCTATTAAAGTGCTTTGCAATCGTGACTAATAATTTTCAGAATGTTTTAGTCACCCCTTGTTGAGACCGGCAATTTGCCTAAGCAAGGGCGTTTGAAACTTAGAAGTCAATATTTCGGTGAATTTGAACGTTTGAGTCTTAAAAGTTTCAGCACGTACTACAATTATTATACTATAAAGTTCTTTTCAGCTGTATATTTAGATTTCCTGTCAAATTTTGCCTCTATAACATCACACACAAGCCTTTATATAACACCCAAGGCCAAATTAAAAATTGTGGAAACTGGGAACAATGGGCAGGGAATATCAGGATTTTTAAAAAATTACAGTTGGCAACACTGATTCTAGTAAACACAGCATATCAAAATTTACCAATGTTGACATTATTTCCACTCAAAAACTTATTTGGAAAGAAACCTCTGTACATTAAATTGAAATGGACGGTAAGTATTATCTTTCTTTTCATGTTAAGATTAAAAGAAATTATTTTGTGTATTAACCTGAATTCCTCAAACACATAAAAAGTTACCTAACCACAATGCCACAATTCTAAAGAAAGGCTGCAACAACACTTTAAATATATTACCAAGAAGTCGAAAAACATTAGCCACAGATTTCCAGTGATTGGAACTTCATCCCAGTGTGGTGGACTAAGAGTTTTCTTTTTCCCCTATCCCAATAGAGAATGTAACTGCATCAGAACCCAACAGAGGGACATGAACAAAACCAAGAACTGAGCCAATAATCTTTTCAAGATTTGCATCCCATTCAACCATGATGTATAAATTGTCACAAGACAACTCTAATGAAAAAACATAGAAGATATGTTGTAACTTCTTGCAAATAAGTGTGTGAAAGTTTTAAACTTCCCTTGTTCACAAACATACATGCAAAGTTCAATTAACTTCAGAATATTTTAACAAAAGTGGTATTAAATAAACTGTAAGGTACTGTTTGGGGACAGGCACATATTTTTAACACATTTGTATAAATTAAAAGTAGATAAATCAGTAGAATATAAAGTTTGAAAATACCTTTAAGATATCAAAGTAGGTAAATCTTGAGACAAGACAAAGACACTTTGGATAATACGCTTCCATCTGCACATCCTTCTTTGATATTGGTGAACTATTACTTGTATGAGTTGTATCACCAGAAACATTTATGGCATTGTCAAAGTCATCTCCCTTTCTTACAAGTGTAAAAGGTTCATAGAATGACAAACATGCTACATAACTCCTGGTACCAGCCATATCTGTCAGTACTGACACATAAAATGTTGATGGTTTGCTGTAATAGGATATCTCCCAACCCCCAGGTTGGCAAAACTAGGAAAAAAATATATCCTTTTTCAAGAACATGTTATTCCCTTTTAGCTTTTTACTTCAGGAAAATATCAAATGCATTGTATAACCTTTTGTTACATCTTGCTCAATCAATATTAAGGTTGAAATGACATTTGATGAAATTTCTAGGTAAATTATATCTATATCTGTTGAGAACGTTTTGAAGACAGCTGCCAAAATGCGAACTTTACAAGGATATGACTCAATACTGTATGAATCACACACCACTGAAAGAAGACAGGTCAGTAGCCTCCAAAATATTACACTGGATATATAGTGTTGCTGTACATTCAAAATGTCAAGTTACTTTATTCACTATATTCACCATATTTTATGCATATATGTATGGTACTGAAAACAAAAATTTGCTTATGTAACTAGTTTTAAAATTTAAAAACTTAACATTTTGAAATTTAACCATGGTTGAAACTCATAGGCAAAAATCTGTGTGAATAAGAGATTTAGTGAAAATAGTGAACAGCTATTAAACTTGGTAGGTAGAAAGAAATAGGGTTTTCACTATTATGCTATATTGATGATAGTAAAAATTTCAAAGATTACTTCAGAACCCACGGTAGCAAGATATGAATACACACTGATAAACCTGTAAGTTATACATATAAAAAAACATTGAACATGATTTTGTCTTATAAACTCATTTTTAAATTACCATTTCAATTCCTTCAGGGAAGGTAACATCCTTTCTGTCTTGAGAAGGAAAACGTTCGAGCACCTTACCCACTAACTCCTGGCCATCTATAAGGGGATGAATTCATTGGTTTTCAAGTGCAAAATAAAAGTTTCAAAACATAAACATACACTTGGATGACTGGTAGTAAAAATCAATGAAATAAACTCCCGATAAAATTAATTTAACAAATACCCATGTTATTAAAAACAGTGATATACACCTGTTGAACTATCCCTGAGTATGCCAATAACGGCAAAGTAATCTGCCAAACGAGACATAACGAAGCCCTACCCATCACCTTTGATCGCATAAGCCGCCATATTGCTATAACAAACCAACCTGACGTGACGTCACATGTCAATTGACAAACTCACTGAGCTATACTGTTATTACTGGAGGAATAATAATTTTTCTTTTAAAACTTTCACCCAGAATACCTGGCCAACCCAACTCTTAACAGTAAAGGTCAATTAGAACTACCTTGTTTCATGTTACTTTAATGCATGAATTTGACTTTCACAGAACAAGAATAACACTATTTTTAAAGAATGGGATAGTTTTATACTCTAAAATCGATCCTCTAACAGATATTTAACATAGTGAACTATTGGCCTGGTAATGCTGGTATCTATTGTTTCCGTATTACTAGGCTAGTTCGAGTAAAAAAAGAGTTTAATGAATGTTCCGTTACCATAATTACGAATACAAGAAAAGCCCATCACGATGGAAAAGGGTGGAATTTTATAAACACGATAAATAAATTTAACCGTTGTAATGATGAAATCAGGAGAACAACTACAGGGGGATTTTGGGGGGTGTGACAATGGTACATTCTCTTGAAATGGTACATTCGTCGGGCAACGATGGCTGGCGAATGTAATGTTTGGAAGATTTCATTGTTCTGGCAGCCGAAAAGGACTTAGCTGAAAAGATTGACTTCAAGTAAGCTTTGCCACTTGCCAGATTGCAAAAAAAAACAGATGCAAAAAAAAACCAGAAAACCGTGCACAAAATGTTTCAATTGTTCAATCGCGCATAGAACGGCTTTATAATGTATAATAAGACTATAAAATCTGATCGCAGATGAGTAAAACGTTACTAAAATATAAACCTCTACCTGAAAAAGCTATTAGTTTCAGTTAAGTGACCACTGGCAGTCTGGCCGCACTCTGTTCGTTGGGCAAAATAACGCTAACCCCCCCCCCCCCAAACTAGAACAATTAAAATTCGTGCAATAGTAATAGTTTGACAAGCTATTAATTTAAATATTCTACAATCTATCTCCAAAAAACTGTCGCTATTTCACTTGGGTTAAACGAAATACATTTTTTTATGAAAATTTTGTCAAGTTAACTATATTAATATATGAAACAGTTTTGAAATTGAAGTTAAAAACTTACAAACAATAGAAAATGTACACCATTTTTGCACTTGATTCAATTGATTGCAGTTGACCCACTGAGTGGGTTGACAACAAAATGTTACATGAAAATTCTGCATAAAATTGGATACAGCCGTACAGACGCCAGAGTCCTTATTTAATTTGTTACGCAAGGCTTCATTGTGTTTAGAGATACGCATATAAAAATAGCCGTAAAAATAGGAATATCAATAGCATGACAGGGATTAGTGATTAAGTTTTGCCACAAGATGCCTAAGTAAATATAATTTTCGGCCATTCGCAACCATTAATCGCCTTTCCCTTTCATGTATGACATATCGTGGGATTAAATAAGTAATAAGGTGAAAATAAATATAATCCTCTCAGAATTAATACCTGGATAAACATTCGTAAGTCGTCACTTATCTTAATGGTCGCATTCTTTAAAAAAAGTGTGCGCGCTGTAGGCCATTCAAGTTCATATGTCAATCAATTGTGTTAAAAATGTTGCTCGGTCAAGCATGTAATAGATTACGTCATCACAAGTTCAATTCGATAAAATAAGAGTGAAAATAGTTTAAGTTAAAAGATATTGTTCACAGACGTATGTTGTGGTATATTTTACTAGTTGTTGATGATGAATATTTTAAGTTGTGAACATTTTTAAGTATTGATCGATTGAGCAGAAGACCAACTCGACTAGTGCGACAACGCCTTAAATAAACAAGATATGAGAGCTGGAACGAGCTTCTAAGACCAACCCACTGGTTACATGTACAACGCTGATTGGCTGGATAAGGATCAGCCCACTATGGTTGATGACGTATGCAAGAGTCACTGAACCCTCATTATAAAAGGGCGTGCACAGCACCTGAACCTTCAGTGGACTAGCGGAGTAAAGATTAACTTATGAAACGTTAAGAAGCTCAACCTACAGGACAGACGACCAAAGACAAGAACGCAAAACGACGAAGATAGAGAAGTAGAGAAGAGAAGAACGGAGAAAGAAGAGAACATTAGCGAACTTTAGTTAAAACTATTGTAAAGATCTCGTACCTCGCGTATCAAATAAAGAATCTTATAACAACTTGGTGGAGGAACGGCCTTATGAACTAGCGGAGTGAACTAGCGGAGTGGACTAGCGAAGCCAAAAAGTATATGAAACGTTAGAAAAGTCATATAACAATTTGGTGGAGGATCGGCGGTTTCACAAACTCAATCAGTCCGCCAAATATTCAGAAGAATTTAGAACAATCGTCATTTCGAACATTGGTTAGAAACGAGTGCTTAAACAGCGAGATGACTTGGCCGAACGAAACGCTATTCTTCTATTCATCAATACTTCTACTGACGGCAATGCTAGAGCTTGTCTCATATTTTAGTTGCTGGCCTAAAACAAATGGTCACAACCCAGTGTACAGCTCCTTTGAACAAGGATTGGAAACATGGTCCACCTCTCATCAGTCGAAAGCAGACGAATACGACCGTGCCTACCCGCTCCTTAATGTTATGAATCAGGCTGATATCCAGCGAAAGACGCACCAGTGGAAGCCTCCGTGGTTATGCAACGGCTACTGAGACGCGGCAGAAAAATCTCAGAGTTCCCCGGATCCTTCCTGATGGTTAGAACGCTTGTACATGGACATGAAATTGGACGAATTTTAAGATTTGTATAATATAAGTTTTTGTCATTCTCATGTTACACGTATATGTTATCATTTGTTTGTTTATGTGCGATAATATTAAACACGAGAGTATATAGCTGTTCAACTAAAATTCCTTAGGTACACTCAGCATGCTGATTAAACATGTTGCCGTAGGATAGCGCATGCATGTTTTTAATTGGGTCAGTATATAAATTTAATTCTGACGCTTTTGATTATGCGTCATTCGTTGATAATATATTTTTCTCTTCCCCCGGGACAGTCAAGGGTCTCCCAAACTTGTTGTAATGGATTACAATTCTTTTTCAAGCCAAAAGCTTAAATATTAGGCACATTCTTGTTTTCTCTATGTAGACTCGGTATTTATATTGTCGATGAACCTACATTTTGGAGTTTGGTTTGCCGTGCATGACGTTTAAAAAAGTAAAATGAGTTTCAGTTATATTAAGAAGTATACGTATAAAATTTGTTTGCATAAGTTGAAATATTTTGAAGAATTATTAAGACGTATATATAGGTTTAGGTTATTATTGTTACGCAAGGCTTTTATTATGTTTAGTTATATGCATACAAAAATAGTATAAAAACAGCTGCAAAAATAGGAATATCAAGAGCATGACAGGGATTAGTGAATGATTTTTGCCACAAGACGCCTGAGTAAATATAATTTTCGGCCATTTGCAAACATTAATCGCTTTTCCCTTTCATGTATGACATATCGTGGGATTAAATAAGTAATAAGAGGAAAATATTTATAATCCTCTCAGAACTAATACCTGGATAAACAGTCTTAAGTCGTCACTTATCTTAATGGTTGCATTCTTTAAAAAAGTGTGCGTGCTGTAGGCCATTCAAGTTCATATGTCAATCAATTGTGTTAAAAATGTTGCTCGGTCAAGCATGTAATAGATTACGTCATCAAAAGTTCAATTTGATAAAATAAGAGTGAAAATAGTTTGAGTTAAAAGATATTGTTCACAGACGTATTGTTGGTATATTTTACTAGTTGTTGATGATAAACATTTTAAGTTGTGAACATTTTTAAGTATTGATCGATTGAGCAGAAGACCAACTCGACTAGTGCGACAACGCCTTAAATAAACAAGATATGAGAGCTGGAACGAGCTTCTAAGACCAACCCACTGGTTACATGTACAACGCTGATTGGCTGGATAAGGATCAGCCCACTATGGTTGATGACGTATGCAAGAGTCACTGAACCCTCATTATAAAAGGGCGTGCACAGCACCTGAACCTTCAGTGGACTAGCGGAGTAAAGATTAACTTATGAAACGTTAAGAAGCTCAACCTACAGGACAGACGACCAAAGACAAGAACGCAAAACGACGAAGATAGAGAAGTAGAGAAGAGAAGAACGGAAAAAGAAGAGAACATTAGCGAACTTTAGTTAAAACTATTGTAAAGATCTCCTACCTCGCGTATCAATTAAAGAATCTTATAACAACTTGGTGGAGGAACGGCCTCATGAGCAACCCGCAGGAACCGTACGTTCGATACATCCCTGTAGTATTTGTGCCAACGCCAACCGAAACGAACCCGGTAACAACCGCCGCCACCCAAACAGCAACGACAACAACAAAAGACGCGGCGACCCAAACGGAGAGTCCGTTAAGTTTGGAGTTTGGGGAGTATATGCGAAAATTGCGACTCGAAGTTCCAAAGTCCCGCTACTGTGAGCCAGAATATCGTATAGTTCCAGCTGGATACGAAGACGATTCGGAAGACGAACTACTCCCAGTGTTGAGCTGGTCGTAAGTTGGCATATTGACTAAATCGATCAATTTACATACTTTATATTCTTCTCTATATAATAACGTTGCTCTATATCTAGTCTAGTAATATGTTTTACATATAAAAGAGAGTTTTACAGTTTAATGAGCGTAGCAGAATCTAGTTCTGAAAACGACGAGCCAATTGCTAGGCGAACGCGATCTCATAACATAAGTTCTCTCGGGTTGGACCCTGCGCGTTGGTGTACACGAAACTGTACATCTTTGGGTGGGAACGAGCCTTCTGTTCTTTTGGATACTTCTGATTCAGATACTTCCCTCTCTTCATTGTCATACTTAGAAACCGAATTTCCTGCTTTTCCCAGGGCCCCAATAATGGATGAGCATGCCCAAGCCTTACCACAGGGTCTCCTCGAATTACTACAACAAATGACCGACAGACTACAGGAACAACAAAATCAAATTGTAGGGGCGCCTCCCAGAGCTAGTGGTCTTCCACCGCCAGTTTTTCGTGGTTCCCCCAC